CCTCCCTTCCAACCCCAACTTTGCAATCTCTCTCTGTCTCCTTCCCTCTCTTATTTTGTAGTTAATGTATTGCTATATTTTTATAAAAATCTTTCAAGCACTGCACAGTTCACCCTCAGAATAATTCAAATACAACTGTTTCCATGGGATTCCCTTTTATTTACAGCATTTAAACAATAACAAAGAGGTTTTTCATTCACTGTGTCTTTGCGCTTGATTGTTGTATACTTTATATACAACTATGTACTTTTTGTTACTTTGAGAGTTCCATACATGCAGAAACCCACAGCAGGTATGGTTACTTGTCCAATATGAAGCCAATCAGAATTCCAGCATGGATAAGGAAAGACTCAAATGTCCCACTCCAGGAACAGGAGCTACTGACGGCTGATAGCTACTGAGGGAAGGAAGACCATTTCCTTTGCGAATGTGCCAACTTATAGATTGCTCGCACTCCAGTGGATGGCTTCACAACCATACAGAGAAAGAACTGGCTGGATTCAGAGCATTATTAATAACAAAACAATACATTATAAAGAGGAAATAAAGTTGGGAGTGTGATAGGGTAAAGGACACTAGAGGGAGTTGGAAGGAGGTTTGATCATAATGAAGGAACTTGTCAATTATGTACCTAATAAAACTAGGCAGCTAAAGCAGAGGTAACTTTTGCCTTCTTGTTTTGATTTTTCACTTTTATTGTGTTGATGTATATTAAAACTAAATTTAATAATAAGAGAATTAGAATAAAAATGTTGATTCATTCTGGATTCATAACAGTACCATAATTGTTTTTATTTATTTCATTTTTGCAGCTGTATTGAAAATCTCATGCATGTATTTTGATCATATTTACTCCACCCCTCCGGCTAATTCCTCCCAGATCTGCTTCCACCTTCCTGCCTCACTCAACTTTATGCCCATCTTCTATTTAAATAAACTGTTGTTTCTAATGTGTTTCTGTATATGCCGGAGAGTGGGGTTATCCATTGGCGTAGGGTTGACCTACCAGGCGCTACTAAAAGAATATTTAATTAACGTTGACTTTAATTGAAATTGACCAGTTCTTCAGCTCTAATGCAAAATGTTCCATTAGTAGAGATCCATACTTTTAAAAAAAGTATTACCTGAATGGTCCTAATTTAGAACACAGTTAATGATTACTAAACTTAGAGGGATAGAAAAGCATCCTCCTGCTTGTGCAATTCTTCATTACATTTCTAGCATCCCTGTGAACCCGCGAACCCTGCTAGATAGCCCTATAAAAACAAATACTTCTGGAATTTCATGAGTGCATGAATTATTCCTCTCCCTGTTCACTTTCAGTTGTGCACTCGCCATGAGCATCTGACCCATTAGCTTATCTGCAGATAACCTGAACTCTAGACATTCCTTCAGAGTCAGTGGCTTTTGTATAGAACAAGTGTACAGGGTCACTTCTGCTTCTGTCACATCAGGGTTCGCTCATATGTGCTCCAGATAAGGAAGAGGATCATTGTCATCTCCAAAAGGAGCTACAAGAACTTTATTGATAAAATTGTGATGTTACCAAACCCAATATCATCGAATTTACTCATTTTGTCACACTTGACTGAAAATAGTGGATGACTCTTAAGCCACTGAAGCATGGGGAGATAGCTCTGGGGCTACACTTTTTGAGTTTCCAGAGAAAGCTGCATTTTGGATTTTGGGTCAGTGTTAGAGGTTTCACTCCACTCACTTTTCAGTTCTCATTTGAAATTTCACCATTTGGAAAGAGATTTAAGTTCACTGTTGTCATATATTAATTTACAGAAAATAACTGATTTCATTATGAGATTTTCATTCATGCGTAAGGTGGGGTCATATTCTCTTCTCTTCTCTTGTCTCCTACTGTTTCCAGATGATCTCTCTCCCCTGCAGTTCCCCTTTTACTTTCACATCATCGCTCTATTTTTCCAGATCTCACGAATCTCTCTTGATTGTTATTCACACCTTGTTTGCAGCTCACCGGACCCAGCTCTTCGCGTATACAAACAGATCCTCAAATACTCTTCTTCTGGCTTGCTCTCAAAGAAGCCTTTATTCTGATTATCGATACAAACCCAGTACTTAGATATCTAATTTTGATTGGGCAAGTAGGAACTAAACGATGTTTGCCATAAAAATTCCATTCTTTTACTGTCCCTTATGTGTATCTATAGAGGAAGTGAGTGAACACCATTTGTTAACAGAATACTTTAAAAATAATTTGTGCTTTCTACCAACTCCAATAACTGTGTAACCTTTCTGTCGCAAGTTTTTGTTTTTTCCTGAAATGGGTTCTACTATTTTGCCCAGGCTGGCCTCATCTTATGGGAAGCCTCCTGCTTCCCAAAGATCTCCCAGGATTTTGGAATTATTGGCATGAGCAACCATACTTGTCTATGGGATAGTTTTTGTTGTTACTTTATTTTTATTATTTAAAACAAAGCTTAAATTTAAATGTATTTTAATCATATTCATTACCTGTCCCAAGTCCTTCAAGATCCTCCCTCTCTACCCAATTTTAACTTATTTCTTAAAAAAACACAACCAAACACAACAACACAGCTATTCTGAACCAAAAGTGAAATAAAACATACCCAAAATGATAAAAGTAAACATCAACTGTAATCAAATAAAAACACACAATAAAATCTGTGAATTCCATTATATGGTGGTCAACTACTTATGAACATGAGGCGTGTACCGGAGTGGTTGATATGCCCAGTGTCACTCTCTTAAAGAAACTGGTCACCCAGCAGTTCTAAGAGACAGTTCAGTTGTTAACTTTAGTGCTGTTTTCATTTATTCATGGAAGATAATTATAGTATGGGCTCAGTTATATGTGATAACCAAACTACAGTCCATGGTACTGCAAGGGTAGATAGATACTCAGGGACTGATCCTCTCTTCATGGTGAACTGTGTGCCTGTGTCAGGCATCTCCTTGATCCAAGCTGCAGTCAATGATTCCACTGAGATGATTTCCAGGGTCACACTACAACTCATGACTTTGATTTTTGTTTTTTGTTTTTTTTATTTCCCATCTTCTGTTCAGAATCCCAATAGCCTCTCTTCCTTGAGGATGTGAACAAGTGATAAAAACAATAAAACCTCTATCAAAGCAACATTTATCAATTGCCCATTGCCCTACAATAAGGCAATAAACAGAATAACAAAGTGATACCTTACAATAAGGCAATAAACAGAATAACAAAGTGATACCTTACAATATATACTTAGACATATACATCATAATTATCTTTTAATTCTGTTTTCATTAGTATAGCAGAGTTAGTAGGTAAGGACCTCCCAATTGCAGAAATTCTGTGAAACTGGTTCTTATTGTGGTAGTACATACTGTTCTTTTCAGAAAAAAAAAAACAATCCAACAGATACTGTCCTTATTTCGTTTGAAAACCGAGGAGGAAAGTGTTGCCCATTAAAACAGAAAATGATCCGATTTAACAAATATTGGTGTATTTAAGCAACATAAAGGGTGCTGATGAAGTGGCTCAACAGTTAAAGCACTTGTCACTTAAGCAGAAGGTTAAGAGTTAAGATTCCCCAAACTCACTTAAGTGTCAGGTGGCTGCTGTGTCTCTCCTATGATCCAGCCTCTGAAGGTGGCGATGGGGACCCCTAAGCAAGCAGGCTAAGGAGGCAGGTCATGTGGACAAGGTCTGGGTTTCAGTGTGAGACCCTGCATCAGTGAATCAGATGAAAAAAAAAATTAAAGGAGATTCCTGATTGCAACTTTGAGCCTTCACATATGTAATCACACACACACACACACACACACACACACACGTATATACATGAAAAAACAAAGCTTTAAAAAAATCGATAATTAATTATGATAAAAAGCAACATAATAAAAATGCTAATTCTACTGAACCTTATTTTGAGAACCTGATTATAATTATCAGTGTTCCTTTTCCTGTTTATTCATATTGAGATATGAGTGTGTGTGTGTGTGTGTGTGTGTGTGTGTGTGTGTGTTATGAGAACTCTCATGAACTTCCCTGGACTCCACGAAAGAGGTAACCAGTCATTGACCTATTAGAGAAGAGGGGATCAGGTTTGCAAAGGTGTATATTCCTTAAAGTGAGACTTACATCTAATGGAAACCATATAGCACTGATAGAAGAATCCAAAGAAATACATTCATTTTACATCCATGAAGTTCCCAACAATTCAGTATATTTATTTTGTCTTGATTTTTTTCTCCCTCTGGAGTTGTGAACACTGAGCTTGAAATCAGTTGAGAGAAAACTTGTTTCCAAGATTCTTTTCAATTTGCTTCTGTGGCAATTTAGTCAAGCAACCTGTTTGGAAATAATCTATTTGCAGAAGCTAAGTGGGGGGAAAGCCGCCACATTATATAATTCACTGAGCAGGTTTTGGCTCCCCCTCTGCCAATCCATCTTAAATAGTGGCTAGTGCCCCTGCATCTCGCCATACATATGATCAAGCAATTTTGCAGAAAAAGAGAAAGGCCCTGCAACTTGGCATCCCCGTGGACATTTATCTTTGAGAAAACCAAATGGAGCCAACTTTTGCCAGAGTTTAATAGCAAAGCTGTCACATTTTACACAAATGAGTATTGAAGTCTGTTGGCAAATGGGAAAGGGGTGGGGATCAGGGGAGTGGAGGAGGAGGGACTGCTGACTGCACTCTTTTCAAAGTGGATCCAGTTTTTAGGGGAGGGGCCAGATGCTTCTCTTGGCAGTAGAGACGAAGTAGTTAAAATGATTAGTAGCTAGGGGTTGGAACCCCAGGCTCTGTGTGTATATAAGACGCTGCAGCCAGCACAGAGCTGCTGTTGCTGCTGCCGGAGCCAGGACCACGGTACACTCGCTCAGCCCCTTAGAACACAGAGACCTGAGAGGGAAGTTAAGAAGGCTGCTTAGGTCTGCGCTAGGGATCCTGGTTCACCTTTGCAATAGAGACAGACACAGGAATCCCGAACGCTCTCCCCTGCCCCCAGACACCCGCCCACAGACTCCTGCGCTCCAGACCAGTGCCACGCGGGGCAGCCTGGCAGCAGGTCCCCGCTGAAGGCGATGCTTATAGGGATCCTAGCTCCCGTGCTGGGAAGGAGGGAGTAGTACCTAGCAAGAAAGCGAGGAGGCTGCTGGTTAGAGCCTCCAGTGACTAACTGCTGCGGGAGGACGGGAGGACGCCGCCTTTACTCCACTGGACACCTGCTGCAGAAGTCTCGCCACCATGATCCGCATAGTCTCGCTGCTGCTGGGAGCTGCGCTGCTCTGTGGCCACGGAGCCTTTGCCCGACGGGTGGTCAGCGGTGAGTCAGGGCAGGGGTACTGTCCATCCAGCAGAAGACAAGGGATTTGGGACTCTGGGGCTGTAAGGGGCAATCTGTAACAGGGTGGGAACTCCTCAGAGAGTTGGAAAACTGTACTGAGTAGGACGACTAGAGAGATGGTGAAAAACATTTTATCCTTTTTTCTTTCACCTTCTCTCCGCAAACCAGAAAGTTTAAGTTCTTTGTTTTTTTGAAGCGACTTCTATAACTGCGAAGCAAGCTCTAGCTAAATCGGAGCAGCGCAGCATAGTCTCTTTCAGGCACCGGTTTCCACTTTCTTTGGAAGACCAGGAGTGGATAACAGGCAGGCAGGGTTGGGCACCTGCAAAAGGGGTGTGGTAGGGCTAGGCAGACAGAGCATGGAAGCTAAAGAGCTGCAGTATGAATGCCACCTCCTGTTGGTCTGGTTCCAGTCCAGCCAGGGTGCTCACAGGGGTGGTTTCTGGTCTGAGTTTGCAGCCTTTGTTCTCAGGACAACCTGCAAAGAACTGGGGAGAGTCCCTGCACTCTCCCTTTTCTTCTTTGCACATTACATTCCTAGTTCCTAGTTAAACAACTCAGGAAACAGTCAACTAGAGTTGGGGCGAGGTTTAGTTTGAGGTGTACTTGGTAACGAATTTGGGTCTGTGCATCTTGCAGATGCGTAATTAAGTTTCTCAAATCAGTACATAGGAAATAAGTCAAAATTACCAAGCTTCCTAGGTTTCTCTCTGTTTTTGTTGTTGTTGTTTGCTTGCTTGTTTGTTTTTTTCAGCGTCTGTGGTCTAATCATTGAACAATTCACCTCCTTTAGTTTGGGGAAGTCTCCTAAGGGGTATAGAGTGTTCAGGGACTGAGATGAATGTGAAGAGCATTGCGCATGGCAGCTGTACAGTTACCCATAGAGAAAGCTCTTAATACGTCCATCAGGCTGTTGCAGCGAGTTTGGTGAATGCGGGAGAGCAGTGTTTTAAGGGTAAAGTGTTTGCCTATCACATACAAGGCAAACGTGGTCCGCAGAAAGCTTGTCCATCTGCCCAATAGGTGTCACTGATAGATGCAAGACGGCAGCAACTTAGAGTTTAGAAAACACTTCTTTAGGATCTAGCTTATTTAAGCCTGCCTCTGAGCTCAGCAATTCATGTATGTCAGCCAGTCAGATACAGTCCTTAAATGTACAGGTAAGCAATTAGTCTCCACAGGATGTTCAGAGCCTATGAGTTTAAATCCTTTTCCTCCCCAGGTTAGCAGAGAATAAAGAACTGCATGGAGATGTAACTGGTGGAGCCAATCACATATTTCGCTACCTTTGTTTTCAAGAATTTTTCCTGCAAATAAATGAAGGAGAGACTATGCTTTGAACATATGGCATTTCCAAACAAACCGAAGCATCCCACTGACTTAAAGAATGTTTATTTGTTGGATTCTTACTTACATGCTTTAAAGTTCCAAGAGGAAAGGGACATATTGAGGGTAGAAAACAGAACTCAATTCCTTTGTTGATGAAGAGTTTAATTTTCATTGTACTTCTGCATAAATTATTCCAAAACTTTGGCTATGCTTTTCTTTAGCAATTCATAGGCATCTCGAGGGTGACATCTGGAAAATTTCTGAGTAACTGAGCATGATTTATTTGATTTAGTGTAAATGATGATGTTGACTTGAGATTAGAACAATTATTTAGTTATGTTTTTTATGAATAATTTGATTGTCCTCACATTGATGTCTATCTATAAACTGATTTATGAATCATAGGTTTTGAATAATTTTAGCTGTGATGGGCTAAGCAGAGAGCAGCCTAGAATCTGTTATTTTTGAAGCAATATTTCCTAACATGTCCACTGTCAGTCTGTTGTTACTTATTCTGCATTGTGCAGCAACCCTTTGATGCCACTAGGGACCAGGGGCCCAGTCTGTCCTCAAGTGTCTGAAGAGAATTGGAACAGCTTCTCTGCTTTCTGTTATTTGGAACATACTTAGAACACATAAAAACAATGACTGTTTACTACATTTGAAGACAACAATTCACAATTCTTGTGTAAGTGTAATAACAAATAATCTCTTACCCATCATATGCCCCAAAGACAGACGCTGACAAACTAAACCTCCAGATATACTTTTCATGTCTCAAAAAATTTGAGAAGGTACATTCTAATGCTTTTAAACGCATCATTTTAAGATGAAAATTGTTTAAGGATAAACACATTTCTAAGAACTTCACCATCAGGTGATCTACATAAGATTTAACAGTGTCCAATGTAACAAGGCTGTGCAGAGAGACACACAGAGAAGAATTATGATATTCAAAGATAATCATCTGATGATAATAATCAAGAACTCTGGGGGTAACAATCAGTGTATTTACTGAATTTGTGAGTCACAATGGGAAACTAATTTGAGGATCTGAATTGTATGGTGATTTCTTACTCCACACTGAAGAACAGTGAAGAACATCTGTTGCATCCTTTTAATTATTCAGTTCAGAAACTCACTGGCTGGTAAGGGCATTTTGCTTCTGGCAAAGTTTGAGATTTTTTCATTATGGTTTAAAATAAAAATAAGTGGTTAAGATTGAGGACTCTAGTTTGGGAGAATATGTTTGAAAACAAAGTGACATTTTATTTCAAAGCTTTTGAAATATTTTAATGAAATGTTTGCTTTTCCTTCTTTTTTTAAAAGAGTTTGGAGCACTAGTCCCCAACGACCTCGTGCTGCAATGTGGCATTAACCATATTCAAGGCACCCCTCAAATTTCTCCAGAAATCTCTTATACGTACAGTTTTAACTCTACTACAACTGAGATACACTTTAGGGACTAAGGGAAATGGACCTTTTGAAACAAAGCTATTAGGTCTGCTACTGACTTCCTTATAGCAATTCATGTGCTTCATGGAGTCAGGCATAGTTTCTAAATGTACAATTAACCAATCACTCTCCACTTTTACCAGTATGTTTTGAGTCTCTGACTGTAAGTCCCTTTCGTTCATAATTTAGCAGAGAATTAAGAGCTCACTGTAGAGAGATGTAGCCAGTGAAACCAATTCCATGCAGATTTTTCTTTTTGTCATGGAGAGAACATAGAATATTTAAAAAGTAATTTAATAGTAACGAAGATACAAGTGAAACTACAGAGCATAGTCTAGCTTACAGAAAAGTCCTATGACATCATCAAAACAGAAAATGATGACAGTGCAGGTTGCAAAGATGCAATTACTTTAAGTATCCGTTGGGCAAAAAGGGAGCAAATTAATCTTATTACTAGGCATTTAATAAACTACCCATTTATCAAGGCATTATTCCTTAGTGGCTGCTCATCATTCTTATATGGTGGCACTATCTATACATTAATGCTAAAACAGGATCTGTAATTTAAAAAGGGCTCTGGAAGGGGAAATACAGCTGATGCTTCATTAGGAATTTTTACTGCTTGCATTTCTTTTTTGTGCTAGATCTTCACGTACAGGCACAGTCATATCAACAACTGTGAAGTGAACTTTCTAAAAAACAGTCTTATGTACTACTGATGGCACAGCACACCATGATATGCTAATCATAGTGACAGTCTTTGTATTTGAGATGACACTCAGTTTACCCTTTAATTGTTCTACTGAGAAAATAAAAGAACATATAAGGCATAATACATAAATACACATATATGTATACACATATATGTACACACATACACATGTATGTATGTATGTATATACATACATATGTAATATACAGAGATATAAGTATCCTGAAATGAACTCTGCTCCTATTATTCAACATGGAAAATACACACTCAAAAACAAGTTCTCAATACACAATCCTGTGCTTATACCAGCAATCAATAACCAACCGATATCTATATTAGATTAATATCTCTAACTCAGAATAGATTCATGGCATGTACGTTTATCAGTCCCTTTATTCACAAAGCTTGAGACACGTGTGGAGAAGTATAGACATCATGGAAATGGGCAGCAGAACCAGTGAGCCTGGTTCCAAACCTGTTTGCAATTATGATCTGTGTGAACTTGGACAAAGTTTTAAACTCTGTCTATGTCCCTGTTTTTTATTTTAAATAAGGGGAAAGGAAATATACATCATACATTGACTTAGAGAGTTGAAAGGTATTGATGTAATTAGTACCTTGTGTATATGGCAGGGGTAGGAGAAAGGCAGCTTGGTAAGCCTTGTGTCTTGAGTTGAGTTTTGTAGAGGCAAAGGCAACTTTTCTAGTTGAATACCTGATAAGAAAAACCCCCTTAGTTATATGTCAGCAGATTCAATTTCCCCACTTCCTCTGATGGTGTGAATTCTACAGGAAGTGAGGTCTCATATTTCAAATTATTAATCAATATTAGACTTATTATCATTAGTTCAATGAAACATATAGCTTATGTCAGTTTTTAAAGAAACAAAAATGATCATGAAAGTTTTATTTTTTTATTCCAATTACCTATAGTTCTGCTGGACCCAAGGTACATCTTTCTGATTGGCTGTTTAAACTCTCAAGCCATATTATTACAAACCTTTATCATGAATGGTTTTCCACTCATAATCTTTACATCTGTTTCAAATATCAGGATGTAGACTATGAGGTCACTTCCTTCTCAGAAAGCCAGTGGTGTTTCTTGCCGGGATAAAGATGAAAGACTGTTGCCACCATCATCACCGAAGTGACCCATGGCTGCAGATTTGATTTTCTTCGTGTAAGAGAATGGATGTCAGCTGTAGAGCACTCTGCAATTAAGTGAACAATAAAACATATCTTGCATAAATAAGTTAATTTTAATAAGTCTGTCTTAACTTCAAATAAAAATTCTTAAGAAACTGGTATACTCTTGAGAATTGCAAATAGAACACTTGGAATAAATGACACTCTTTTACTTAGTTCAAGATAATTGGCTTCATTCTCAGAGATCATGCAATTTATATGTTTCAACACCATCCCATGTTTTAGTGTGTTTTGTGGGGGATAGGAAAGAATTATGGTAAAGATATATTTTTTTTGATTCTAGTAATGAATCTTAAGTTTATCCAATCTGGTTGAGATTTATCATATTGTCCTTTTGTATATTTTCATTTTCTTAAATTAAGGGTGGGTCATTACTGAAAAAAATTATTTCTTCTATGTTTTATTGAACAGCATGATCTATATGTAATAATTATTTAATGTTGGTTACAATTTATTATATTAAGAGGGATAATGAAAAGTTTGACAGCCTCACAATTCTAGAACATTCTTCAATAAATAATTTGAGTAAAGAAAAAACAACTTATTAATTCTATTCAAGAAGGAGACACAAATTGTCATAACTTCATGAGTTTACTCTTGGTTTTGTATCATCGCCAAAACCAAGCTTTGCCAACATTTATGATTTTTCATAACAATGAAAAACTAAAACCCTTATTTATAGAAATAACATCAGAATATTAATTGTGATAATGATAGCAATGTTTAATAGCTATTACTAAAAATCCTCGGTAAATAAAAGTTCATATCTAGGTTTGTGACTCAGTGTGGGTCCCTGACAAATCTGAGAGGGGTGAATATTTCTTTCTATAATTCTATGCAAATTTACTTGAGAAAATGTAAATACTTCTTAGATTTAGAGATTATTTAGTTCCAGGTGTACATCTGGAATATTTTTATAAAGGTATGTAAACAAAGCTATGTTGAGCTTCTCCTTTATCAATGTTTCTAGAATTGTGAGTGGAAAGTCTTTGTAGATAATCCAAAAACTATGTAATTTTCAACTTGAGATTCTGAATTGAGACTTCTTTATAGCTAGTCAGTATGCATGTAACTTTAGTGTAGCAGAAACCATTGTATAACTTACAGAAAAATTGCCCTCCCATAAAATATTTCTGAAAGATTTTATTAAAGTATGATGTTTAAAAGTAAAAGTCATGGAAACTTTTTGTGCGATCAACCAGGGTGAAGAGGGAGGTCATCATAACTGTTTTCTAGGGGGACTGGCTTTTCTGGGAGTTGAAAAAGTCACATCAGAAGATCTGTATTAGCAGAACTTGTCTGGGAAGCAGGGCACCATTTGTTTCCCAGCTGTTCAAGTTCCAGTGAGAGCACAGCCAAATGGGATCAGCTGAAGTGCAACAACAAGTTCGGTAGCTCCAGCTTCTGCTCATTTTGCTGCTGCTTGGGCCAAATGTGCACAATAAGGTAGAAAGCAGTAGTAAAGCAGACTTATATATTAAGGTATTCACCCTGTCAGCAGGAACTGATTCTATGCGAGCCATAATAATTGTGCAGTGTGCTTATAATTTCTTGCAAACTGCTTTGCTCTCCCTGACCTGGTAGTAGCTCTTGAGTTCAAACATGAAGACTCAGCGGATACTCACCGAATGTCCTTTGGGGTTAACAGATCTGTTCCAGCTGATAAAAGGCTTCTGTCTTCAGCCCCTCAGATGCTCTCTTTTCTGCAGCCATCATCATCTCTGTTCATTTATTGAAATCGTGGACTACTCACTTCATCTAAAGGGAAAGATTGCCTGGTATAGAGGGCCAAGGTTGGCGATTTTTCCTAGGCCCATGTAGCATTAGTTGTGAATTACTTGAAATGCAATTCTTTATTTGGCATCATTACTTATGTTTTTTTGCAATATAACATAATAGGATTAGGAATTTCTACATTATATTGAGAGCATTCTATGCATTTTATTGTAAGTGCCATCTTTCTTTTATAAATGAATAAATTTCAATCATATTGTATACCTTCACCATGTATAAACTAGAGATCAACTTATCTTTTAATATGTCAAAGATTATAAGTAGTGTATTTTAACATATAAATTATACCCAGGCAGTCTCTTAAGGTGCCCTGGTTTTGTTACATATAAATACAAGCTACTCACCAAAAACATCCTGTTATTCTGTTTTTCTTTCCACTAAGATCTTCCAAAGTAATCTTAAAAAATAAAAACAGTGTTAAATAAAAATGCTTAAGTGAAATACAGAGCTAAATGTATTAGGGGGTGAAAATTGGAATCTTGAAAACTCAAGGGAATGTAACTAAGATATATTTGGAAACTTAGAAATATGTAGAGGATGTACCAGATGAAAATAGGATGCGAGCTTGATTCTTAAAGACAATAATAAAATATAGGCTTGTAATAATCATTGGAATCTTACAAGGAACAACTATTTTAAACAATGAAAACATCACAAAACCTAATAATAAACAAGAGTAAACTTTCAAATTTATATGTGATTTATATTTGAACTATGCATTGGGATTTCCACTGCTTCCTGACAATGATTATTTCAGATTATTTGCCCTACTAAAGCCTCTTTAGCTAATATCCCATGGCCATTTCTACTGATATGTTAATTTTTGTTAAATTCGGTTTAGACTATCTATTAAGTTGTTTGTACTTTTTTCAGTATGCAGCTCCTAAGTTCAGATCCCTGTTAGCAGACTGGTTTGCATTTCTGGAATAACTATTTGTGTTTTCAGCTTTTGTCAAGATCCTGAATGCTTACCACTTAAAAGAATCTGTTGTGAGGTTAATGGTCTTTGGCCACCTTCTGTTTGCTCTAGCATTGAGAGTCATTCCTGATCACAAACTGAGTTTCAGGAGTTGGGGGAATGTTGTACTCTTGTTGTAACATAGTTGCTCAGCATGATGGCCTGTAATTAAGAGTACACACTGTAAATTCTGTACTTATCAAAGTATTTAAGCATGATTCCCCCTTCTACAACTGACAACTTTTCATATAGACTACAAAATTAAAAAGACACTGTAAGAGGATGTCAAACATTTTATGTGGGTGTTGGGAGTCAAAACTCAGGTCCTCATGCTTGAACGGCAAGCAATCTAACCTTCAGCATCTCCCAAGTTCCATCACTTTTATTACTAAAAGTAATAGACTACAAAAGCAAACTTTACAATATTATTGAATGAGAAAGCACTCATAAAATATTTTTGTTAATTCTTTGAGAACATCATACAATACATTTTAAATCATATTTAGCCAAATTCCTTAACGCCCCTCCATCTTACTCTTTCCCAACTTCAGATCCTCTTCTCTTTTAAATTAGTAATTCATTAATTCTAATATGTACTCTCCTTCTACTTCTTGGAGTGAGTGGGACTATCTACTCAAACATATTTGAGAAGCTAGAAGCATCACCATTAAAGAAAACTGACTCTCCTCCAAGAAACTTAATTGTCCATAGTTTCTCAGATTTAGAGCCTCATGAGATTCTCCCCACTGTGCTAAAATGCTGAATGACTTGACCTTGGGCAGACCTTGTGCAGGCACCTCACCTTCTGTGAATTCATGAGTATAGTGATTCTGCCCTGTCTCTAACACATGCCTTTGCTCTGGTCCTCCTTAAATTTGGCTCTCACATTCTTCCTACACCCTTTCCATGATGGTACCTAAGCCTTGGGGAGGAGGGTCTGATATAGATGTCCTATTTCTGACTGAGCACTCTCTTGTCACTCATTCTTTATATTCTGTTGTGAGTTTCTGTGCTCACCACCATGCACTACACAAAGAAACTTTCCTGGTGCAGTTTGAGAGTTGCACTTATCTATGGGTAGAAAGATATGAATTTAGAGAGAATCTTTGAAAACGTGTTGTTCATCCTGTGGCTTGTGAGCTCTCCCTTGACCAGATTTGCAATAGCAGGTATGCTTATCCTCTTGGAGAGGCAGAACTTAAGTCTAATCAGAGGGTAGTTGTTTACTCCCATAACTATCATGCCACTATTACACTCATAGACATACCTTGGATAAAAGAATTCTTGATAGTGTTTTTTATTATGAATTGTTCTTTTATTATAATTAATATCAAACTTATGAATAAAGACCTCAAGACCTGTTTATCTATATCTTGTTTGTTTGTTTTAGGTCAAAAGGTGTGTTTCGCTGATGTGAAACATCCCTGCTACAAAATGGCCTACTTCCATGAACTGTCTAGCCGAGTGAGCTTCCAGGAAGCGCGCCTGGCTTGTGAAAGTGAAGGAGGTGTCCTTCTCAGTCTTGAGAACGAGGCTGAACAAAAGTTAATAGAGAGCATGTTGCAGAACCTGACGAAACCTGGAACTGGGATTTCAGATGGTGACTTCTGGATCGGACTTTTGAGAAGTGGAGATGGCCAAAATTCTGGTGCCTGCCCAGATCTCTATCAGTGGTCTGATGGAAGCAGCTCCCAGTTCAGGTAAGCTGTGACTGGACCCTGAAGTGTCTATTGATGCCCTAGAGGAGTCGGAAGGGCAAAAGAAAAGCCCTGATACCTGGAACACTCAGAGCACATGTTGCTAAGTGTCCCTTTGGTTCTATATTTGTAGGAACTGGTACACTGATGAACCTTCATGTGGAAGCGAAAAGTGTGTTGTAATGTACCATCAGCCAACGGCCAATCCTGGTCTCGGAGGTCCCTACCTTTACCAGTGGAATGACGACAGGTGCAACATGAAGCACAATTACATCTGCAAGTACGAACCTGGTAAGAAGCCTCTGTAGCTGTAACCGATTCTGTGCATGTTTGCCATAGAAGGCCCCGTGTTTAAGGTTTCCAGCCATTTTCTAGATTGCGGAGAAACAGGCATCACCTCACAGTTTGCTCTGTTAATGTACTGAAGCACATTGTTTGTAGGAGAGCAAGCCTGCCAGTGTGTTTCATGGAAGGGAATGGGTAGATACATTTTTGGGGAGAGGCGTATCCAAGAGAAAATAATTTATACAAGAATCACACTGTGTTATTGTAATCATGTTTTGTAAATGTCTGTGTGAAAATATCTTAGAAGCTTATGAGACTGTGTGGAAAGTAGTTATAGGCTACCAAAGTGCCTATAGGCTTGCACACTTGTGAGCGACGGCTCCTTGGTTCATTCCTGCCGAGTTTAGGGGAGCAAACAGCTTTCTTTAGGCATATTATTTCAACATGTTATAGCATAATGTTTTCCATTTGGTTCTTTAGCTGAGTGTAAGTCCCTTTTCAATAGTTTAAAAGAGTAAGGCCACGTTACACATTCTTCATTTGATTTGCATCTTTTGAAAAATGACACTTTCATTAGTTTTCTTTTGAAATATTCTGTTACTTGACATACGCAGCCACTGGGAAAATTAGTTTGACCTAAGTCACATTAGTGTGGCTTCCCACTGAATGTAGTGAAATTGAGTTACTTTAATGAGACACCTCAATTGAATTGGGATTTAAACTACAAGAAGGACTAATCAAAGATGTGTAAATTTGATCATCTTAGACACTCAAGATAGATATTTAAGCCTTGACACACTTATTTTTCGATTTTTCTTCACAATGTTTGAAAGGGTCATTTTAACTTTTTTGAAGAACTGTCAGCGTGACCTCATAATATGTTCCCACAGAAGGCAATTACATCCAAGTACTCATGTTCCATTACTCTTTTGAAATTACACAGTTTCTTTTTTCATAAAGCAATGAAGCACAGGGGATTATTGGATTAGACTTACCCTTCTCTTATGTTTATTCTGCTCTTGAGTATATTAGCCAACTTTTTATATCCCTGGCGAGTTTATTCTTTGCCCTTGGTTGCTAAATCTGTCATTACACTCCTGGAAGCTCTTGCAAAGCTAAGTCTGTTGTTCAATTCCACTCTTTCTGATTGTGTCTTAGAGAAATACAGTTAAAGTTCTGTGATGTTTTACACCTGCTGCAACTCTTGGCATTTATTAATTAGAGGGTTAGAGGGATGAGTGCTATGTAATATGTATGTATGTATTTATGTATTATACCCATGATCACTTTGAAATGTATAATTTACTTTAATATGTAAGTATACTCCCATATACTATCTAATAGCATGATCAATGATGTTGAAAATGTTAAAAATTTACCCTGGTTATTAAATGAGATCATTCAATTTTATGTTGTCCTTCTCTATTGACATTTGTTTCCAAGTCTGAAAACTGAGTTCAGTCTTAGAGATTTATATGGTAGAAGGAGAAAACCTATTCCCTTAAGCTGTCTACTGGCCTCCACATACACACTATGACATTCAAGCTCTTAGTTACACACAAAACAGATTAACTCAAAAATTAACATTGCCTTAAGAGCTTTTTAAAGATAAAATAGCATATCTATGATTAAGTTATTAAGTTTTTACTTAATTAACAATCAAGCAAACAAACTTTAATTGAAGTTTGTTAGAAATATTTTAAATGTAGTTTGTTGCTAATATCATATCTTGATAATTGGTTCAAAATATCAGTCAACCACTTGCATTCATATACTAATGAAAATCTTTAGACAAATAGCTACATATTAGGAAGATTTTAAGTATCAGTTAAATTTAAAATTTATGAAATTTAAAATTGTTTGAAGATGGGTGTTTAAACTACCAGTGAATCCAGATTGTAGGATATTGTGAACAGTGAGAATTCTTTCAAACACTTTCATGTTCCAAAGACTACAGAAAATGCTCTATGTAGCTTTTTTATATGCATGCAATGACAAGAGTAAAGTGTCTAATTTTTGAGCAATTAAAACATTTGCATTTGTTTTTTTTGTTGCTTGTTTGTTTGTTTTTGAGGCAGAAGTTTACTCTATGACTTAGTCTAGTTGGAAACTCAAAATATAGCCCAGGATAACTTCAGAATCATAATGAACCGCTAGACTTAGAAATAAAAGGATGGTGTAGACTTACAGAGGGAAAGTGCAGTTTAATTCCCTACCACCAAAGAACTCCATTAAGAAAGAGACTGTCTTATGCCGTGATGGGGTTCCTGAAGAAGGAAACCCCCATTCGTCTCCAGTTCCCTAAGAAGAACTCCATTCAGAGTGATACAGGAGTTCTGAAGAAAAAGCTCCTTCAATTCCACTTACTTCTGCAATATTAGAGGAGTTATTGTATATAGCTCAGGGACCACAACAAGAGAGAGGATCACTTTGGCTCAGCATAAACAAAGGAAATTCCTTGCTGTCACAACTTTCCAGTTAAGAGGGTTGGAGCTCTCCCAGCCCCCAGGGCAGCAGCAGGTGGCCTAACCTGTGTGCCAGGAGTTTGAGTGTGTGGCACTAAATAAGGGTTCTCCTGGTTCAGGTTTGGGGGTGTGGGATGGAGCCTTGTAGTTGGGTACAAGTGGAAGGAGGATTCAAAGCCACAGTAGGCTTGCTTATCAATGCCATTGTGCTTCCCTGCAGCACATTCAGGTGCGCGGTGGGTAGGTGGGGTAGCTAGAAGATTTGTAACCTATTCATGCCTAACTAATACAATTACTTTGGCTAACCTGTTAATGTAACAACTGGTTTCTTAGGGGGAAAGTATATTCACTGATAGTACCAGAACCTGATAAGAAGTCTCAAGAGTTTCTCACCCATTTGGGAACTGAAAAATCTAATCACATAAAGCTAGAAAAGAAACAGCCTGCAAATCTTGACTTAATATTAATAAAAGGAGTATCCCTATTGGAATTTACATCTCAGAATGTCATTATTTGGGTAGAACAGACATAGTTTTCAGATGCTGCTTGAATCAGGTATTCCACAAGCAACGATGCAGCTCTCTGTTAATTATTATTGCACTCTAAAGGTTATTCCATAAAAAGTTTACCTTTGTTTTCTTTTGAATCATGTTTTATGTTTTACCACTTAGGTTTACAAATTACTGTTTACCATTGTAACTTTGGGTCCCTTAGTCATTACTGATTGTAGCAGGCTGCCTTCAGCACTCTACCAGTTTTGGTTGCTAAATGAAACTTGGGGTTATATATCAAATAGGCTGTTATATACAGACATAATTAAATATTGTTGGTTAATTCTATGTACATTTAAACTCAGAGTATATATTTGACTGTGAATTATTTAGAAATCCAAATCAACTTTTTAAAAACCATTTAATAACATTTATGTTGACATTTGCATTTTCCTAGTTCAATTATTATTTATTATTTCTATGTTAATTATTTACAGAGATTCAGCCAACAGACCCTGTTGAAAAGCCGAATCTTACTAATCAACCTGAAGACAAGCATGAGAATGTGGTTGTTACTGAAGCAGGTGAGTCCCTTCTGTCCCTCTCATCTAAAGAACTGGGCTTTGAACTAGCACTTCATGTTGACCCCATGGAAACCTTTCATGTGGTTCAAGGATGTGGTGTATTAGTTATGGGCGCATAGACATTTATTTTCGACCTACATTAGAAATAATTATGCAATGATACATTTTAAATAGAATAACCTTTAAAAAATTCCATTTCAGGTGGCAGTATCTAAGTGATCGACATTAACACCTGTATCTACAAAGCATTTCCCAATATAGTGTAGTGTGTACCATGTATACTAGCCTATATACATAGACACCTGGAATTGCAATTTGCTACTGAATGTTCAGGGCTTGTCTGGCAGTAGAGAGGAGGTATAACATAAGCCTCATTATAGTTTATGTAGCCTTCCCTGGTGTAAACACCTCTATCTGATCAATTTCAGACTATCACCATGATATCACAGTAGGACATGTTGGAAGGGGGTTCACATAGTGGGCCCTCTATCTTGCTGTCACCCCAAAAGACAGAGTAGAAAAATGCAATTACCAGTGCAAGATCCATGTTAGCTAGAAACTCCTCGACATTCCTTAAAACTACTTTTTTTGACATGAACTAAATACAGATGAACAAAAATTTTATCATATTTCTTTTGTGAATATTGATCCAAAGGTCCAAATGTTTCGAAATTAGTAACTCATACAGAGGCTCAGAAGGAAGACTGGGTACTCCACAATCACTATTCTCTGCATTTTGATCCTCTTTGTAGCCCTACACACACACACACACACACACACACACACACACACACACACGACATGAAGTAAGAAAGAAGTAAGTAGAGTGATTTGTGAGAATTTGGAGTGGAGAGTGAAGTGTGGGTTTTATTAGAATAAAAAGCATTAAAAATGATATAGTAGGGAGGGCTTTGGACCTTCCCCAAAGTAATGTGCCTTAACCTTTCTGAGGAGCGGATGGGAGCTGGAGTAGGGGGCTAGGTTGAGGGAAGGGGAGAAGGGGAGAGCATGGGAACTGGGATTGGTATGTAAAATTAAAGAAGTTTGTTTTCTTTTAAAAATAAAAACAATAAAAAATGTATTAAACAGCAGCAAACTTCTGAATAATCTATCCCTAAATCTCATAAAATATACCGCTGAGGAAAGAGAATAAACAAGGAGGTGAATAAATTATGGCCAACTTTTATCAGAATCATTAATATTTTTGATATTGTTAACTAACTTTTAGTTTGCAAGCCAAATGGAACTCAGTTTGTTTTCCTTATACAGAAATGCTCTTAAGATTTTGGGCTTTTTCTGTTTCATGTATCTGATTTTAACATCATCCATAATATCTAAACACAATTAAAGTTGCCAAAAAATAATTAAACTACAGACATTTTCCTCTTATTAAAAGTGTGGCTATAAAAGTCATTTCCTGATTTGTAGGTCTTGAGTGTTGGTGATTTTCCTTAGAATCTACTAAGAGCATCTGCCATCACTGAAAGTGAGAGAACAGGGTTAAAAGATGACCTATTTTCAGAATTTAATTCAATCATGCTATTGTCTACAGAGTCTTATGTCTCTGGGTTATGACGGCATCACCACCTAGTATGTGCTTATTTTTACTTAAGGCCAGATTCTTACATTTTCTCACGACAACGAGCTTATTGGCTAAGATAATTCATTATCTACTAAGTCAGCAATGATTATAGTAATTATTGTTCCCCAAATAAAGTCTTCACTTTTGCAATGATGCAGAAGAATTAATAAAACAAGACAGCTAAGATTATTAACATGTTATGAAAATTAGTCCGTGTCTGAATTGAAAATGTATTAGAACTTTAAAAGCACGCATATTTAATTGAGCATGTCAACCAGGGCATTAAAGTTTTATTTATAAGTTTTTTCAAAGTGTCTATGCATTTTTCATAAGCTCTTCTACTTGGAGTTTACTTTATGGTAACAACTCTATTTTACCTTATTCATTACAGAAATTTGTTCATAGCTGCTTTTGAGCTCCTTCATGAGCTATCATTGAACACTAAAACTGTTTTATTTTTGCAGGCATAATTCCCAATCTAATTTATGTTATCATACCAACAATTCCTCTGCTTTTACTGATCCTTGTTGCTTTCGGAACCTGCTGTTTCCAGATGTTGCATAAAAGGTAAAAACCATATTTTTGTCAAGATAATTAGGGTAAAAAAAACCCTGCAGTATATTTTGAAACATTTTTTGAAAATGTTACTATATCTTTAACTTACATTAAATAATTTTAATGTTCTTACCTGTCAGTAAAAATCCAGCACATGGAGAGTTATAGAATGTACTCGGATTATATGAGAAATCCAGTGTCTCCTTCACAGTTCATAAGTCCTATGAACTGCTTGCTTACTGTTTCTGTTTTTCATTCAGGAAAACGGTGGCTCAGTTGGGTCATCTTCAGTTGCCTTGTGGTGCACAGTTAGCATATGTGATGGATCTGAAGTGTGAGTGCTTGTAAGCTCACACGAGATACACTATACATATGCTCTCTGGATTGTTAAATTTAAAATAAGATTGATGTTAAATCTTTCAATCTGAACATCAACTTATACATAAGACTTGGTTTTATAGGTAGATATGTAGTATAGTTTCAAGATTCAAATAAAAAGCTTCTGTTTTAAGACATTTTAAAACCAGGAAATTAAGTGCATTTGTGAAGACAGTGAGCTGAGTATGGTGCCCCCGAGAGAGTGAGCAGCATTACCAGGAGTGCAAGGCCAGCATGAGTTAGTGAGTTCCAGGACAGTCTGAGCTACATCATGAGACTTTATCTCAAAAAACTTCATTCTTTTGCAAACATTCCTCATTTCTCTCTCTCTCTCTCTCTCTCTCTCTCTCTCTCTCTCCCCCCCCCCTCCCCCCCGCCTATGTACTGTCTGGCAGATATTTTGAAATAAAGTAATATATCTGAATAGCAAGACTTCTAGGAACTTGTCAAACACTTATTCATGCTTATTATTTCCCTTGAGCCTGTGAAGTAAACTTTTTTTGTGTGGTACGATCTGCCAATTAAATTTCAATAAATTAAGTATAAATAAGTATCAATGAAAACACTAGGAGATACATTTAAATAAGGACATATGTGCTGAAAAAAATGACCTATTTGTTTTATGGTCAAATAATTGATCAAATAATTGATTGTATGATATCATGACCTGAAATAATTTTTCCCTTTTTGTTTCATCATCTTCTTTTCCTTAAATAAATCCTAAAGAGCCTGAAAATTAGCAACCTGAAAGGATATAGATGATTAATGTGTATTAATAAGTGATCTAATCTAGGCATGATATGCCTATTGTCCCAAAACTCAGGAGGCTGGGGGACAGAAGGACTACAAATTTGAGTCCAGCTGGGGCTACATAACAAGAACATAAACAAACAAGCAAACACTTCCCATGAACCAAATCAAGCCAATAAAAAATATAAAACCAAAAGAGTCAAATAAAACAAAACATTAACATGATTGAAAATACAAAAATTATTTGAGCTAAAAATCAGGGCTGTTAAATGAAGTCTGGAAAATTAATATGTGTTGTGACCCTCTTGATTTTCATTGATAAACTTGTGAAACATTATAAAATTTATTTTCTAGTATTTTGTATATAATAAATACAGTATAAAAAGTGTCATTTCTTGCCCTAATTCAGAAGACTATAGATGAAATCATGTTAGATTTTTCATTGGGAAAACAATGGTGTAGGAGGAATGTTAATTCCCTCTTAGCCCAGACAGACTGTTAAAATGTCCATTTAAGTAGCAAACTGGTTAGTAAACATTAAACATATGCTTCAAACATTCTCACTTGCCTAGTAAAATGTGTTAGTGTGTTGAGCAACAGCATCTCCTCTAAGGATTGTTTTGCTTGTCTCCAAAAAGTGGTTGTATTCATTCAAAAGATCTGTGGCTGTCTTCATTTGTTTGAAAATTTCGGAGTGAAAAAATAAACCAAAATTGGGCACTTTCAGTTGCCGGGATGACCTGAAGTCCTTTGTTCACCGTTCTTAGATCCTGCCCTTTTCCTTTCTTCCAGGAAAGCAAGGAGAAACTTCATCAAAGACTCCACTCCATTATCATCTGAGGGCCTTGCAGAAAGTTTAAATTCCAATCTGGTACACACGGTGGTTTCTCTCATTCCATATCATTTTCAGAATAACTTTTCTTCCCTTAACTAGTAGAACTTTTAAATGACACTAATTATGATTAAAGCAACAATGATAACTTCTTTCCTTACCATTAATAGCACTCTGCTCTTCATAAGCTCTGCCTGGCTTATTTTCTCTTCATGCTAGCTATATTTGGTAGAATTAATTTATGTTGACCTGATTTATTTGAAGAACTATCCATACAACATATAATTTGCATTTTCATTAATCACAACAGCACTGAAATTGATATGAACAAACCATTTTTCACTGTAATGCTGTGGTTTTAGAATTAGTTCTTTTTCTTTAAGGAGTTTTGCAAATCTGCAGGATGATGGCACAGTGCAGAGGTGTGTCTGTGAGCGCTGTGAGGGTGGCAAAAGACATTAGAGGTGGAAGGAAGTGTGGGTACCTAGGGGTAGAAGTAAATACTAAACACAGGGAATGTGGCCAGACCAGGTGAGAGGCCATCCTCAGGAAACTAAAGCAAAGAAATGCAGATCTTGACGTGGAATCTGGTACAGGATGACTTGGGGAATCTTAGAAACAGACACTTCTGCAAGGGCCTGACTAGTGAGCACTGTAGGAGAAACCACCAGAATTCCAGGCACAGGCTACCATGAGAACAGAATTTCTGCATCAACCATGTCTTGGAAGAAGAGCTCACAAGCTCCCAAGTCACCAAACATGTGTCTGCTTTGGACTTAGGCTGATTTGAGAAAGAGGCCCAATGAAGCTTTCTGGACGCAAATGGCCTAAGTACAGCCTGGCAAAGCGAATGGTAGGAGGGGACAGACATTCCTGATATTTAGGGTCACAGCAGGCATTTGGATGATTGACACTAATTGTAACAGCCATTTTATTAGAGTACCCATAAAGCAAGATTTAGAAACCTTGGCCAAAGAAAACAAGGTTCATTGTGGGAAAATTAAAGTCTTAGTACTCTGTCAGGCATTGTGACGCTTGGGTGTTTAAACTCTACGGTGAGTCAACAGATGCCAGTGTGTTTGGAATTGTTTGTCATCTTCACACAGTGGGATAATCTAGACATTTTTTTGTAGGAATGGCAAATATGCCCATGAGAAAGAAGAACTCATAACAACTGTCTGAGCATCTCTTTTTGGATGAAGACACAGCCAGCCTGATATGATTCAGGAACTGAATTTATTTGTTTTTATGTTTTTCAGTAAAGGAAGAACAAAAACTAGCCCGAACCAGTCTACACTGTGGATTTCCAAGAGCACGAGAAAAGAAAGTGGCATGGAAGTCTAATAACTAACTGACTTTGCTCCAGAAAAAAAGATAGTTTTGTAATTCCCGGTCAGTGTAAGGAATGGCATCATTAGCTTGGAATGGCTTGAAATCTCAAAGGATCTACAAGATGAACTGTAAGCTCCCCCTTGAGGCTAATGTCAAAATAATTTTTATATGTTCATAGTTTAATTTACAAAATATGCTGTGTTTATCATGGAGTAAGACCTGCTTACTCAGCTAAAAAAATGCACCCAAACATCATGTAATTGAAATGGATCATGCAGATAAAACTTCAGTGGACACATCTGGAATTCCTGGGTTGGAAGTAGTTCCTTTTGCTTTTCATCACCTTCATCATTTTGATCTACTTCATGTAATATTAATTGTATTCAAATTTACGGTGTGCAAAAAATTTTACCTTTGCAAAAGTGTTTGATAAAAATGGATTGTTCTAATATTTATATTTATGGTATTTCATTTTTACATACATGCTGTTTGATTAAATACTGAATTTACACGGACATTGAAAACTATTTCCATAGGGAAAACATTTTTTCAGAAATAGTTCATGTTCTTTCCATTTTCCTCCTTTTGTTTGCATAAGGTTTAGGAAATATCTTCAGAAATAAGAAGCTGTTTCATTGGCTGTGCTATAAATCTCCTGAAACACTTTACTTAGAGGCAAGAACTGTCTAACATCAATTGTTGAAGACACGTGCCTTACAATTATTCTTAATTTAAAATTAAACTGATTTTTGTAATAAAATATCTTTACTAATAGTTGTATAGACACCAATGTAGTTTATCTTGAAAAAAAAAATGTGTCCACAGTACCAATCACAGTTCTTCACACGTTGCCTATAGAATTGCAAGTTGTTCTCTGAGTGTCTGGAATCAATGTGTGGTTCTTCCCTGTGTACCGAACAGGATGGCTGTTTGAGGGCTTGGATTGACCCTGGAGTCAGACAGCTGCACCTCGGCTAAGATTTTCCTAACTGAATTTAGCTTGTATTGATATAGAGGGCTGAATGGTTTTCAGCTGTGTGATGCTAGGCAGAGCACACTGATATTACAGATCAAGAACAAAACAAAAACTACAAATCACACTAATTAATGGGCCATGGGCTAGAGGCCATTGATGTTTGGATATCTTTGAAGAGGGTTTGTTTATGACTGTGCCCGTGGCTTTCTTCTGTCTGATAGAGTTTCTTCAACACGTAGCATTTGTTCTTCTCAAGAAAGAGTTGTAACTATTTTGTCTTCGAATGTCCCTGTGTTATTTTAACCAAATAAAAAGTTCTTATTTCTGAGGAATGATCTTTGATGTTGTCTAAATTCTTAAATCAACAGAACACAGATGTGTTTCATCACGACCTGAAGATGAAAACAAACATTACATGTGAAGAACATAGAAGGCAAGGCTATAGAATGAACAGGGAAACTTGATATTTTTAGTTTTTCAGTTGGACAATAGTTTCCTTAAGTAGATTTGGTTTTCCAAAACAAAAGGCAAAAAGGGACCTCAGATCTTTTTTCTGCAGCTTTGGGGCTGAGAACTGGCAACTGCATGCTAAGTTAGGCTGTCCTCATTCAGCCCCCCATCCGTTCTGTGGCTCTCCATAATTTGGATCAAAATATAGAGCTATTTGGATCTATGCAGCTGTTTGGATCTATGCTTTCCCTCGATGCCAACTCCACCCATTTCTCCCTTTAGTTAGAACTGTGAGAAGGGAAACTGGCTTTCCCTTTGTCTGTGCCACCCCAAACCCTAACAGCTGGAGGGTGGATGCACACAGTGAAAGGGGAAAGCTGTTGTTACCCTTTTATCATTATCCAGGTCAGGATAAACTCTGGTGTCAATGACAAACTCCATCTGTGATAAGGGTGGGAAAATACATTTCTTTGCTCTTAGGAGATGGTAACGATACCATTCTAAGTGTTTCTGGAAGCTTTCGCTGGCCCTTGAAAAACATACCGAAACATAATGTAATTGTTTTATATTTTCAGACCATAACTTAAATATATGTTGGGAAATGCCACTAAGTATTGAGCTACCTTAAAGTATTCAAAACAAATAAAACACCCCACTCTTTACTCCTTGCTAAGATTTAGGTTAGTAGTAAGTTTTTACTAAGAATGTGTTCTGAGACCCCTGATTATTTATGTTTTGTTATTTTTATTGTTATTTATTATGTTTATGGGAGCATTCAATCCTCAATCATCTTGTTGAATATTCTTTTAATATGTTTGCAAGCTCTGATGGTTTTAGGTACAGCATCATGATTATCTCTTGACCTCTGACCTCCACCAACCTTCCTACCTGCACAGCTTTTTCCAGTGTCTTTTAAGTGTGCTGACTGGAATCATTCTCTCTAAATGTACCTGAAGCTTCCTTCCTTCCACAAAGCAAACCATAGCAATTGCCCGTCTTTTTCTACTTGTTTGAACCCCATTCGTCCTTTTGTTGTTTCAGTTCATGCAAAAATGTGTATGTGTGCTTGAAAAATATGTCTCTGTGTGTGCATATGTACGTTTTATGTTATGTTGCTATATATTTTAGCAGATTCAGTGATGTGAGCTAAATTGACATTTGCAGCTACTCTGGAAATGATCCAAGAGATTAAAGTAGTAAAGCAAATTAATTTATTACACATTTTTAGCTTTAATGGGCAATTCAACTGTGTCTGAATGAGTTTTTCAAGCTAAAAATTTCTGTAAACGTTTAAACTAAGAAAAATTTTAGTAAGTGATTTCCTCAAGATACCTGCATATTTTTGCTATTTTTAAAAAAAATATCAGCTTGAAGTGACTGGTAAGTTAAAATGACCCTGATAAAGATTTCTTGTGTAGAATGATGGTATTAGGTAGTTTACTTTTTTGTTGATGCTAAGTCAAGAGAGAAATGTGGTTGTGTTTTCTTTACCTCAATGACAGACACAGTTATGATGTAATTATGCTTGTGATATGAGATTACAATAAATGTGTTTTTATGAGCAGAGAAAACATTACATATTAATATAAATGCATACAGATGGTAAGGCAAGAAAACAATGGTGACTCTTGAGGTACACTAAGCTGAAACTAGCTGAGTTACAACAGTTCATTTCAAACAACAACATATGTCAGGTAAACTATCACGGTTCATTTCTTTATGTAGTTTTGCTTAAATATATGTTAAAGTAAAAACCTTTACACAAGAGAAAAAGGTAAGAATGATTCAAAACAAAGAAAATGATAAAGTTCATAAAATAATAATTGTTTATTATCAAACAAAAATTCATTTTAGAGTTAATTCATGTTGCAGAGATTGATTTTAATTTCTTGTTTTTCTTTTCTTCTTCATCCCACTATTTAAATGATTCAATTTAATAGAAAGGCTTTTTCTTTCTTCTCATGAAACTCTCAGTTGCCATGCTATTTTGAATAAAAAGGAAAAACAAACAAATAAACCAAAACTTCCCAACTTTCATTCTTGGGTCAGGAAAATGACTAATGTAGAAAACTCTGTATCCACTCTACAAACTCTGAGACCCGGACATATACGCCAGGGCGATTAGGCAGTGCACATCTGACTCCAAATGATGTCACACCAACAAGAAACCACCTGTTGTTTTCTTGACACATTAACGGTCCTCCCGAATCACCCTAAAGAGTGAACAACCAAAAAAAAGTGTTAATCAGTATAAGCAAGTACAATTGGTGCTAAGATCACCAGTCAAAAAAATAAATGTCCTGACATATGATCGACTGCCAAATTCTCACCATATGGTGAGTCATCAGAAATTGGCTCCTGAAGGAGATGGGGCAAATGGTAACAAGAGAAAGTCTATCATTCTGATGGAGCATTTCTTAGCAAGTAGTTCCTGACTTTCATTATTGTGTTTCAACATAGTCAGACATTCTCTAAAATGCTGCAATAATAAGCCATGTCAACATCAACATGCCAATCACTATATGATGTAACATGTGAAGTATCAGACAAAGCCTCCCCACAAACAGCTACGCTATTCCACGTGATGATTTTAGGAGAATGAAGTGCTCACATGGCTTTGGATTTTGTTCCTTATGTGACTGCAAGTGTCAAGTACCAACCACATTCAAAAACCTTAAAATTTCAACCAAAATAAGCAAATCTCTTATTTTCTAGCAATCAGAACATGTGTTTTTATTTAGATTTTTGTCACAGTATAAGTAATAAGTATCACTTATATTACTTGTTAAGTAGTAAGTGATAGTTGATCCTGTAAAGTTAATCATATAGGTCTTATTTGTGCATAATGATTTCTCTCTAATACATATAAAAATAGTATGGACATAAAGCAGCCTTACTTAATTATAAAAAGATGAACAAATGTTTTCCCCATATTAGTTATGCAAAGGATTCTTGTTAATTATTTAATTGTCATTTCAGTTTTTGAGTAGCCTTTGTTGGCCTGAAACTGGCTATATAGATCTGGTTAGCACTGAACTCACAGAGATCTGCTGGCCTCTGCTGGAATTAAAGGCATATTGACCAAAATCACTGTTGTAATAGAGTATTTAAAATTTGGATCAATGTTAGAAATTTACCCTGAGAGACCTCTTGCCTGATATTTTAACCATCCTTAGGTGCTATATATAGAGAAAAAGGTGGCCTGTCAAAGCAAACCCTGCTCCATTGTTGGGCATAGAGGAACACAAGTGGCATTGGAAATCCCAGGTTACCTATATTCAAGGTTTAACAATTGTGCCAAAACTGTCTAGAGGAAAGACAGCAATTTTTCCTTTTGCATCCTAAGGACTTGATTTTAATATGAGAAATATTTATTTATTTATTTATTTTTTGGTTTTTCAAGACAGGGTTTCTCTGTGGTTTTGGAGCCTGTCCTGGAACTAGCTCTTGTAGACCAGGCTGGTCTCGAACTCACAGAGATCCGCCTGCCTCTGCCTCCCGAGTGCTGGGATTAAAGGCGTGCGCCACCACCGCCTGGCGGAGAAATATTTATTGATGTGGGAGTGTTATATATCTATCTGTTGATTTCATTGGTTAAGCAATAAAGAAACTGCTTGGTCCTCATAGGTTAAAACATAGGTGGGAGGAGTAAACAGAAGAGAAGGCTGGGAGAAAGAAGCTGAGTCAGGGAGTCGCCATGATTCTCCCACTCCAGGCAGACGCAGGTTAAGATCATTCCTGGTAAGCCAGCTCGTGGGCTACACAGATTATAAGAAATGGGCTAGTCCAGGTACGAGAGTTAGCCGAGAAAAGGCTAGATATAATGGGCCAAGTGGTGTTTAAAAGAATACAGTTTCCGTGTAATTATTTCGGGTAAAGCTAGCCGTGCGGGCGGCCGGGTGCAGGGGATGCAGCCCCGCGCCGCTCCTAACACAACAATTTATGGGAAGTTTATTGCTCACAATGTCTTATATATGATTTAGAAGTTAATCAGATGTTTTTAAAACAAGTTATCTAGTTCTTTCTATTTTATGAAAATAATTGACATTTTAATAGGAAAGTATAAGGTATTGATGTTAGGGTCAAATGTTTTAATTTACTTTGTGTATACTAAGTCTGTTGAGTGGCAGTGATCCATGAATCTTGAAGAAGGCTTGCTGCCTTTCTTCTGGGTGTCTACATGGCAGGGGGCCTTGGCTGTTTCAAATATATCACTTCCTATTATCTAACCTTATCATGTTATTTATATTATGTAAATTCTTATACTTGATTTTATAATTTGTGCAATTAGATTTCTTCTATTATTTCAAAGAAATGCAACTATTTAAATTATAAACTAATGCAAGAACATAAATATTAAAACTGATTCTATGTTTCTACTTTGACACTATTTATAGTATATAAGAATATGTAGTAACTAACTTCTTCAAATGTGAAAAGGTTAGTGACTATTTCTCCTTAGTTCAATGGTTCCCAAACTTTATTATATATTAAAGTCACCTGAAGACATAAGAAAGCATACATCATTGGTCCTCAATTTAAGATTCTAATTTTTTTATATATATTTTTGCTACAGGGTTTCTCTGTCGCTTTGGACCCTGTCCTGGAACTAGCTCTTGTAGACCAGGCTGGCTTCAAACTCACAGAAATCTGCCTGCCTCTGCCTCCTAAATGCTGGTGTTAAAGGCTAAGATTCTGATTTGCAGGTATGTGATGGACTTTTAAATTTGTAATTTGAACAAGTCCTAGGGGAAGCTCATCCATTTGATGCAGTGTAGGCTATGTTTGTGAAACATAGTGATGCAGTTTCTGAATGAAAAGTAAAATGTCATTAACTCTTTTTATCAATGAGAAGATATTCTATAGTCTCTTTTATTGACTTTGAATTCAGAAGACTACAATATGCTAACTATTGTCTGCCTGATTGGGCAAATTTTCAGGCTAAAATTCCAATGATGCAGTGAATGTATTCAAATAATGATATATTAAAAATTTGAAATGATGTTATTATTTCACCAGTTAATATTAATATTGAACCTAGAAAGTCATGTGGCAATCTAGAGTGATTGTTGCTCAATAAAACAGCATTGTATTGAATAAAATATTTCTATGCATTTGAAATTTAGTTCTTGCTAATGAGTAGCATGGTTAGACCCTGTAGAAAGAGAGCCAAGTAAAGATTTCACAGATCTGAAATGAGTTACTTGCATAATGTAACTCAAGATCAATAGCATTAGCCATCATATTTTCTACCTCATTTGTGAACTGTCTGCCATGCAACCCCCATTAACTATAATTGAAATTGCATAGCTGATTTCCCTCTTGCAAATAATTCTATAAATCATATCTTAAGTGGTAATGTTTCTTATCTTTAGCACATTTTTCATTTTATAAGGGAAGTATAAAGACCAACAGGTAAATTTTAAATAAGTGTAAAGCTGTTTTATTTTTAATGTTCATCAAGGCAGAAGAAATGTAAAACCAATCTGAAAGTTTAACATAATTGAGACATTGATTTAACTAGGGAAAAACCTACACATTTATCTGCCTGTCTGTCAAAAATAGTTGTCAAATTATGTTATATATATTTTACTGTGAAACAAGTTGCTACACTTTAACACAGTAAAATCATGTTCTAACAATATAAATGGTTACTTTCACATGTATGAATCATTTATTTATTCTGTAGTTTAATTTAATGCAGTCAATCTAGATGCATTGATATTTTATTAATTTCCAAATAATTAACACATGCCAGAAAAATGTATTTAGTAAGTCTCCTAATAAAATCCCCTAATTGGATTTTAATGTTTGCTGATTGCCTTATATGTGTTATCTTACTTAACCCTCTCAAAGTATAAGTGGCTTGTCTAGGGTCACTCATGGCCAATAATCCAATTTATCATGAAAGGAGTGGAGTTAAGGGTCCTTGGTGATTTCTTGACTCCCCAATTATGACTAAGCAAAGAAAATGCTGCCTTAAATGTATACTATGGCTGCTTTTCAGTAGTTACCTGACAAGAATCAATGCCTCCTTCTTCATATCCTGCACATATCATATTTCCAGTGATGTTGTATTCTGGCAGCTGTTGCTGGCACTTCTCATTGGATATAAGAGGAACATCAGCTTCTTGCTGCACATTAACAGTAGAACCTGCGCAAATGGGTGATGCAGACAGCGAGTCCGTAGTGATTAACAGGCCTCCTTGAGTGAAACACCATCCACCTTATATATTCCAGCGTTTTACTCTCATTATCAAGCACTGTGCGGCGGTACAATGGAACTAACCACTAACCTTGCACTTTCAACTACATGGCAAACCCACCTGCGCTCTTTGGCAAATGGATAGCAGCAACACGTTTCTTTCTTTCGTAAGGGGTAGTATGAATTATGGATTGATCTAGGGTAGTCTTTAGGCATTTTCAGTGATTTTAAAAGAGTTACGGTACTGCTCATAGAAACCAAGTCTGCCAGAACAAAGAGTTTATTCATGGAAATCAGCACCAACTTGGAGATTCAGAAGAGCTTTTCATTTAGCACCTGAGGAGGTGCTCTCTCCTGTATAATGGCATTCAGCTTCTTTGCGGTCCTTTGTGTATGAGCAGGTGCACACTGAGCAGAGGACAAAGCTCCGATGAACTGTGCTCTGCTAGGGGGCAATCAGCTTGCCATCCCATACAGGCGAAGAAAAGGGAAGTAGATTTCAGCATTGTGTATTTGCATTTGTTTTATGCAACTAATAATTCATTGGAAGTGTGAATCTCTGCTTACTGAACTGCTATCCCCAAGAGGCTTGGGAAACAAAACAGGTGCTAGTTCCTCCAGAAAAAGGCACTACATAAGCACTTCCTCATGATTAACAATTCTATTTGGTGTGGCAAAAGAGGTAGAAAGTTAAAGGTTATTTATTACATCTGTAAGGCAGCCTTGAAAAACATATGCAGTCTCAGTTTGAGCCAAGTTTCACTTATCCATTAAAAAAATTAAGATATTAAGAAAAGACCCAAGTGTGTGTTTATGTGTGTAACTTAAGTACAACAACATACTCATATATAAATACAAATAAATAGGTATAATACATATATATATGTATATATATATATATATATATATATATATATACTAAGTGCATATGACTCACATATGTTGGTAAACATGTAGCTAGCTATTTGTTATTTAGGGAAAAAATGTCCCAAATCTTCCCTCTTCTCTACTTATGGCAAACAGTTCTACCATGGATAATTTAACTCTATAGTGACAATGGTGAAAATCAAGTTGGAAAGAAAATGAACAAATCACTGTTGCTTCCATAGTGCCAATCAAGTCAACAATACAACCCACCATTAGCTCCTAAAAACTGACAGACAGCAAACATGAGAGATGGAAATAGAAAAGTTCAACCATTCTCTCTCATTGGCTCCATGAAGATCAAGGATAGGATAGGTGGACAGACCTTAGTTTTACAATAAAAACAGAAGCTTCTCCTTGTGTTTGTCACTGGATAGAAAATTAGTTTGAGTAACAGAGCTCTTTAGTAAAGGAAACTATGAGCAACATCTGTGTATTTAATATTTCTTTCTTTTATAAAATTTTACTTTTATCACTTTTGAGTTGCGAGTATGTGTGTGTGGATCCACATAATAGTGCAGGTGGCAGGGGAGCATAGCAGAGGCTGTCTCATCCCCTAGAGCTAGAGGTAAAGGCAGTGTGTTGTGAGCTAACGAGCCTGGGTACTGGGATGCGAACTCAGGTCCTCGGCAAGAACAGTGTACACTCTTAACTCTGAACCATCTCTCCAGCCATGTCTGTTTCCATGTGGATGATTGAGAACACACACACACACACACACACACACACACACACAATTATAAACAGATATATGGCCAAATTTGCTTATTTTAAAGTACTAATTGTCTAACTTTAAGAGTTATGTCCTCATTTCTTTCTAGTAAAAAATATACTCACAACTAGCTAATTAATTAGTAAAATAAACTTATAAAATCAGAAAATAGGATTTTATGAAGTTGCATAGATATAAATTATAAGATAAAATTAACAAAACTCATGAAAAATGCAAGGAGACACATGGTCTAGCCATTTCGCTCTAAGTGATTCTTTTGCTATTTTCCCCCTCCTGGCTCCACACTGCCTTTAGAGACATTTTAATTTAATTAAAATATATTTTAGGAATAATAAGCAAGCCATGCTTGCTCAGCTCCAAAAAAATCTTGCATTGAATAAAGAGTCTTAAATTTTGTTAGCAGATAATTTGTTTTTGATGTCTACATTGTGGCTATAAATTGTTCTCTTGAAATTTGAAAGATACAACATCTGTCTAGCAATAATTTTACTATTTCAGTTTCCAACTTAATAAGTCATGACATTTTTCAAGAAGAGAAAATAACAAAAATATAGTCTTCGACTTGAATATACTTTATGGACAGCGGTCATTAGCTACTGTCAGCCAGACAATGTGACTGTTGTGGATTATTATGTTGAGTTGCCAGGCAGGTGAGCACGGGCCTCAGAACTTGATGCTTTCTTTAATAAGCAAACATTTTTTCCATTTTTAAAGATCATTTGTATTTATTCTTTAACATGTTTATACACACACATTTCATCTCTTGGTCATACTGATGCAACTCCCCTCCCCCATTCCATTTAAAAAGTGAAATAAATAACTGGAAGGAATAAACATGTGCAGTGTATTTATACAGGCCAAGTAGGATGTGGTGATGAGGTTTCCTATTGCCACGTCTTACAGGAGCAAAGGCTGAAAACTACTGGGCCATCACATACATTTTCTCCACAGGGCATTTTCAAAGTGAAGGCTTTGATCCTTAGACTAGACATTTCCATAATATTTGTGTGTTTTTCTTAAATACACGTGGGTCATTTATCTATCATGGTTATAATTTATGACTATAAAAGTTACGTGATCCTGCCAGGCAGAAGTGTCCTTCCTTTTTGTGTGGCCCTACTGAACACTCAAAAACCTCTGTTCTAGATGGGGTAGTCCTGGAAGGAATCATATAGTCAAAGAGCCTTGTAATTGCATTTTGATGGCATGAATATCTTGGCTATAATATAAAATTTGTTCACACATACATACACATTCTGGTTAACTGTATTTTTAAATTTATTTCTCACTATATATTGAAATCAAGAAAATAATGATATCAATGTATTGGGGGAGGGGGCTGCCTCCTCTATGCTACACCAATGTGCATGTCATAATTTAGGATTCATGTATGCATTTCTTGATATTTAAGACATATCATCTATCTGTTTGAGTGTTTATCATTTTCTATGATAGACCTTCAGAGTCCTTTATTATGCACTTTGAAAAGAATAGAACTTTCTTGCTATTTATAATTCTCTTACTGTAGGGATCACACTGGAGTTCTTATTTCTGTATAATTATTGTGCATTTGATCAATATAACCTCCTCTACCGCTCCTCCTACCATCTAATAATCATTGGATGTCAACTTCTATGCCTTCAACTTTTAATGTTTTACAACGTAAGTTTCCCCATGTATTAGTGTGCTTAGTTTATTTCACTTAAAATAATTCTCAGTTTCAAACACGATGATGCAAATTTCAATATTTCACCATTTTATACCGGAATCTCATTCCATTGTGAATATATACTACATTTACTTATTTTCCTTTCTGTGTGTTTTTGACACAGTGACTCATCATGTATTCAGGCTAGCTTCAAACACCCAAAGCTCCTTCCTTAGTCTCCACCTTAGTCCAAATCACTCAGTCCAATTACCATCTTTTCTTTATCTGTTCATTAGTGCTATACACAGGTTGTTTCCTTTTCTTGCCTATTGAGAACAATGCTGCAGTGAACATGCTATGTGGAGGTCTTAGAATGGGCAAGCTAATTTCATTTCCTTTGGACATCATATACAGTAGTAGTACTTTTACATCATATGGTAGTTCTATTCTGAAATTTGGAGGAACATTTGTAACATTTCCCCAAAGGCTATACTAATTTAGATTCCCATGAAAAATAGTCATAATTCTCCTTTCTTTATTTATTCCTCTGCATATGTCTTTTGTTTTCTTGTTTTTAGCTGCTCTTCCTAGGGCTAATGTGATATCTATGTGGTTGTTGTGACTTCCATTCCCTGGGTAACTGGTGCTGTGACTTAAGGATATTTAAGGGGCATCAGATTTGTGTTTGGAAACATTCCATCAATAAATCTTAAGAAATCAATAATATACAAATGTATGATCTTATATTTATCTTATATTTGATACCCTTTGCCAATAGGTAGAAACAGCACATTTAACTTAACAGAGATCCTCTTCTCATTCTAGAGAATTTAATGTGAGACTATAACACCACAAATAATGACAACAGTGTTGATTGCAAAAATGTAAAAAGGCAATAACTTCGCTCTTGAGATGAGACTTCATTTGCACATGTGAACATAAAGTTATAGAAACTTGGGTTATAGTCATTTCAATATGTATATATTTATAATTCATCAGTGTTTTATTATGCCAAACTTACATATTGGTCTTTGAGTTTTCTGGGTTATGGTATTGGATTTGACACAATCTGAAAATATTTGGAGCTACTATATAAGTGTAAACATGAATATAATCCCAATAATTGTTTTAGAATATTCAGCAAAAAATAATAGGTTAAAATATGTAAAAATATTGAAAATATCCACAGCAAATTTCAATAGCATACTTTTTTTTTCTAGTATACATTTTCTCATTTTCAAATATGATAACTAACCTCCGTATTCAGTAGCTCCCCAGCCAGCAATTGAACAAATTCTCCCTGGACTGAATATTTGATTTTCTTCTGGTAAACAAATAGGCTGGATATAATCTGAAAAATCAAGCAAAACAAAATAAACATCAGAAATAAAACAGAACATCACTCATGTTTCTAGGAAATTTTTCAACAAACATTGCAACATTTAATATAAAAAGTTTGTATTTGAATTTCATTATACATGAACAACTTCAACTATTAAGGGACAAAGGCATTTGAGAACAGTCTTTATTTGTCTGTGTTAGATGGTATGGTGAACTCTGGATTCCTCTCCATCATTCTCTAATTAAACTTTTTAATATACACAATGCTTTAGTTCATGATTTATCATTTGATTTTTATTTTTTGTATTTGATTTTTTTTTTTTTGGATTTTCGAGAAAGGGTTTCTCCATAGCTTTTGGTTCCTGTCCTGGAACTAGCTCTTGTAGACCAGGCTGGCCTCAAACTCACAGAGATCCGCCTGCTTCTGCCTCCCGAGTGCTGGAATTAAAGGCGTGCGCCACCACCGCCGGGCTGTATTTGATTTTTAAATAACCATGGTACTCACTTTTTTGTAAAAAGTGAGGACTATTCTTTTAAATTTTTGTTTATTTTCATTGTATTAAATTTTTGTTTATTTTAATTATACGTGTACATGTACACATATGAATGCTTATATGCATTTATTGATATGTGTATGTACATGTATGTCAAATATCACACATTAGCATATTGAAGGCAGAGGACAACTCTAGAAAGCTAGTTCTTCCCCATCATCTTGTGGGACCCAGAAAGTGAACTATGGTCATCAGGCCTGTGTGAAAGTGCCTCTACCTGCCTGTCTTTGCCTGCTGAGGTATCTTGCTTATCTTTTTAATGTTCTTTCAAAAGGTTAGTTAAGAAAAAATATTGGATGGTGTTTTAAAATATTTTTGACACACTGAACCACATTAAAACTACTTTTCCTCCAATTGTTTTATTTGGATCCCGTGGAAGCATCATGTTTGACTATTCAGCATCAACTTACAAGTCCTTTGATTTTAGTAAGCTTCTGATGCCCACTGGATGCATGAAAGACGTAGAAACGAAGATTATCCTTGAGGACAGTGTGATGCTACTCAGGACTATAATGGCCTGCTTTTCCATAATCCATATGTGGACCAATTCCATGAATTTAACTCTCATAACAAACAAGAATATAATCCTGATAATTATTTTATAAGATTCTGCAAAAATAAGTTGATTTTATAGACAGCGACAATGTTGCCCAACCGGGCTTTAGAAAAGACTTCAGAGTAATGGCTTAGATTGAACAGAACTCTTTAGGAGAAATTTCACTTTATTGGGTAATAGTTTATAGGCATTTGAGACAATCCTTCATTGGTTGGTCCAGTGATATTTTTGGGTCTCATTTAAAATTGTCTCAACGTGTATAACATATTTCATTAACCTATCTCTTTTATCTTTGTATCTTGCTTCATGCATTTTGGCAGATAGACCTATGTTTCCACTGAATGACCTACTTGAAGAGGACGGGTTGAGATCCTGCTACTTCTCTATAAGAGTTCATTTAACCCTGAATTGCTACTGATGATATTTCAAGTCTCACTTTGGATTGCTATGAGCAGATTAGATGGCTAGATAGAGTTCTCTTACCTGTGTAATTCACTTTAAATTCAAGGTGCATCATAACAATGTCATTGAACTTTCTTCTCCTATCATAATGAGGACTGATGACAATTTGATCGATTACCCGTCTTTCTACTTGAGGAGAAGTCAGATTTGATTGCATATGCAGGCCCAAGACTGCTGTCCACCTGGTTGGATCTACATTTCGTCTGAAGATTGTGATAAGAAAATATTTTCAAGTAACTTTCCATCTAGAAGAGAACTTTCCAGACGTTATCTAACAAAAGCTAGAACTGACAACATTTCCATTTTATAGTATTCCTTGATTGCTCTAAGCAGTGTTTCTTTGAAGGTATTTTTTTTTCTTATTTTATTTCACTGATACAGAAATTGGGACATACTTAGGGACTGCCATTTCATATTTTGATACAGGTGTATATATGATGTTGAAATGTTTAAGTCAAAGTAAACAGTACATATCTCTAACATTTATTATTTTTGTAAAATTACTCAAGATGCTTACTTACACCTTTTTGAAACATATGTCACTATTATTTGTAGCCGTACTGTTGTTCAATAGAAAAATAACCTCTACTTTATGTCCTAGCCTTACTTTTTGATCAAATTTCCTCCAATTCTCCTCTGTTTGTGCTCCTTATCTTCTGATAATCACTATTGTATTATTAATTTCATGTAAATCAAATTTGCTGGGTTCCACTTGTGACTCCATTATAATATTCCTAATTAAGTTACAGAAGCTTAATTAATGTTATTTTTCTTCTACCATGTCTTCTCAAACATCTTGTGTTATTGTATTAGTTACTTTTCTATTGCTATAAATAAAACACTTTGGAAAAGGCGACTTATATAAGGAAGAGCTTATCTGGCTTCTGCTTCAGAGGAATAGATAGAAAAGCCTTCATAGGTATCATTTCTGTTGAAAAGGAGTGATTCTATGTGTTTTCATTTTTTTCTTTCTTCATAGATCCTAAATACTAGCCAAAGTGAAAGAACTGGGCTGGGAGTATAACTCAATGGTAGAATGCTTGGTTAGCATGTGCAAGGCCTTTAGATTGCTTGCTAGCTCTGAAGAAAAGAAGATAAGGGAAAATAATAGAATGTAATATAATAGAAAGAAGGAAGAAAGGAAAGGGAATGAAATGATAGGAGGGAAGGCAGAAGACAGAGGACAAGTGGGCAGGTGGTCATATTGATAGCAAACCCTAATTCTGTGGATGCTACTTGGATATTGCTTCTTCGGGTGTAGAAATTGACTTCTTTCTGTGAAATTTTACCTCTCTCTTCTAGGTGTGGTAAAACTGATTATCTTAGAATTTAAGGAAAGAGAAAGTTTGGGAGGGATCAGAAAGGCATGCCCTCCTGACCTGTCAACCCCAAAGACTAGCACACATCCTAGAACAACAATATTGCACCAGATAGGTAAAGTGAGCTCATCCCCAACTAGTGGTGTTGCCTCAGAAACCAATGTTCCCAGAAATAAAAATAGAATGAGAGACATGGAAGAGCAGCATGTTCGCGAAACAGACAACAGCATAGGTAGGATTTTGTAATTGTAACTGAACCCCTCCTCCATTCTAACATTACTATAAATGACTCAAGAACAGTCTCAGCAAGTTTGTCCATAACCCTGCTTTCTCCTAGCATAGGTTGTTGAATTCTAATTATTCTCTTCTGAATAAGATGAAGATCCAAAGAATACAGCCAATTATAATTTTAAAAAGTAAAATTTAAGGTATTTCTAAAATTGAAACTGCAGAGTAGAAAATCCTCCAAGAATTATCAAGAACAATTTGGAAAGCAACATCAGCCCAAATTGTATAAAATTGGTCAACTTTCAGCAACTTACACATCAATTAGTAATTATCGTGATTATTCTAGTCACTATAATAGCTTGGTAATGAAAGAGCATGAGGCTACAATAAGTACAAAAAGAAGTGTTAGTATTATGAAAAGTGAATAGAAAACTAGTGCATGCCTGATTTCTAGCCAGCTCCTGAGTAAGTATAAATATTGTTGAAGAGAATGAAAGCGAAGTAGAAGGTACTGGGAGGAAACCACAAAATTATCATTATCTGCCTGCGGACCATTCATAGAAACAAGGAATCATTTGGAACTCCCTCCTTTACATGACTTCCAGAACAGTCCATGCACTTGTGGTTTCTTTTTCACTTAACTCTACCCACTCCTGCTCTCTTTCTTGGCAACTCTAAGTGTTAGAATACTTTAGGATTCTGCTTTAGGCCTAAAAAAAAAATCAACCTATATTATACATTTAATCTATAGATAAAGTTATCCAGTGATACCATAAATTCAAAAATCAACAGCATGTTATTATACTTCAATCCTTGTTTTTCTAGAATTTAGAGCCAAATTGACCAGTATCAATAAAGACCTACAACCAGACATTATGTAGAGAGACAGTCTAAATTGGAGGTTGCCATTAGGCTCCTCCCTCTCAGCGCTTGGAGAACTCCAGAAGAGGAGGAGAAAATACTGTAGGAGTCAGTAGGGATGGAGGCCACTAGGAGAACATGGCCCACTGCATCAACCAAGCAGGGCTCATATGGGCTTACAGAGACTGAAGTGGAAAGCATAGGGGCCTGCATGGGTCTGCACCAGGCCCTCTGCATACATGTTATGATTGTTAGCTTGCTGTTTCTGTGGGAATCCAAACACATGGGCAGGTGTATCTCTTATTTTTTGCCTGCCCTTGAGACTCTTTTCGTCTATTAGGTGGCTTTGTACAGTTTCGATATGAGGGCTTTTTGCCTTGGGATATTGTGTCTTGTTTTGTCCTGTTTGGCTGTGGTCTCTTGGAGGCCTGTTCTTGGCTGAAGAGGAGATGGAGAAAGAGGAGGTCTGGGTGGTAGGGGAGATTTGGGGTATCTAGAATGAGGGGAAGGAGAGGAAGCTGTGATTGAGATGTATTATGTGAGAGAAGAACCTATTATTTAAAAAAAAGATAGTTGAGATATGTATAAAAACAAGAAACCTTAACATCCTTTATTTTTACTATGTTTATGTTTCCTCATCTCAACATTATCAATTATATCATACACTGTTACTTTTAGTCACCTCTGAATTATTCCTCATACCTTTTGCTTATGTGTCTTTCTTAATAAATTTCCATCATCTTCAGCTGTGATCCTAGGGTACCATCATCAATTTCTATTTGTTTTTATTTTTTTGCAATTTCAGTTTTTCTTGGCAGTTTTATTTCTATACATCAGCCTGATTAGATAAGGTTTTTCTTCAGCCTCTCCAAGGTTGTTCATCATTTATTATGGCCTTACGGTTCCTCATCTAGACTGTACTTCAATATCTAATGTTATTGTTGCCCCTTTAAGAACCACATCAAGTAGCAATATGATCAACAGTAAAAATGTTTACATGGTACGTTGGGCCTATACAAAATAAAATGCTCTTTTGTGCCTTCTCAGATGACCCTGTTTGCTCTAGGACACCTTGCTGAGGGAGGAAATAGCTCTCTATAGTTTGAAAAAGAAAAGGGTCCATGGTGGAAACTATCAGTTGCTCACACTATCAGGAAAGGATGCTAGAGATAAAAGGGAATATTATGGCTGAGGGATGAGAGCAGAGACATTAGTGATGAACAACAAAGAACTTGCAGTTGTGTAAGAGGCAACTAAGAAGTCTTGAAAGGAGGCAGGCTATGAAAATTAAGGTCGGTGTTAGCATGCCAGCTGGTTAGCTTTCCTGAGACCACATCCAAATTTCCCAGGAAAAGTGAGTGTTATTGCTTTATTACAGATTCTTATTTCTTCTGAAGGTAATTGAAACAATATCTAAGGGAACCTTCCTCTTTTTCAGTAACGAAATGCCAGCCTATCTTTTGTTAACCTGCTTATTGAGTGAATGGTGCATGAACAGTATACAATCAGTTCCCTGGTTGGGTTAGGGGATTATGCACAGAGCATATGGACTGAGAATTGGCTCAGGATCTGATAGCCCAGAGAACCAACCATTTCACAACAATTATCACAAGCATTGTTATGGCTGTACTGTGAGATCATAGCTTATTTCAAAAGCTTTTTCTTCTAGTTGGACCGACTCCCCCTCCCCACTCAACTATTGAGAGTTTTTCTCACTTTTTCTTAATTTGTCACATTTACTTAATATCTCTTAATAAAGCTTGCACTGTTTTTTGTTTACTCCTAGATGAATATGCATATTCTATCTTTATTAGCATCACACAGAGGACATGGAGACACTGTCTCAAGTCAATCTTTGGTGATGGTGAGGGTTTAGCACCCTGGCGTATGTATGATGCATGCACAGCTGGGCCCTTCATATCCATACTCACCCATAGACACAGTGTGCAGCAGACACTAGCCATTCACTGCTGACGAGAGACGCACCACAGAGCAGCTGGTCTCTGTAACTTTCTCTGTAATACAGAGCCACAAGCCAGGGCCACGACCCTGCCTCGGCATCACTTCCACCAACGATCTTTGGGTTGACATTCAAGGCCACCATTTTTTCTCCACATGCTATCACAATATTTGAAAAATGAGATATACCATATTTTTATATGAAAATTGAAGTGCTGACAAAATAACTTCAAGAGACATAAAATTCTGTCTGGAGTTTTAAATTGAAGGCTTAAAAGGTGACAAATACTTACATTTATGGTTACAATGTAGCATGATCAATAAATTTTGTGAGCACTGAAGACTACAACAGAAAATAAGTTTTTGTTAGTTAAATAGACATTTAAATATGTATAGCAGATATAAAATTCAGGAAAAGCTGAAATCCACAGAAGAAAATGGCCCACTGGAGGGAGGAGGGGAGGAAGTGTAAATTTTTGAATGGAAAAATAAATAAATAAGAAAATGGCCCACCTGAATATCAGATAGGGCTGTGTTTACATTTTGTAACTTATTCTTTATATAATTAAAAAAATTACTCAGTATCAACATGATTATAATAAAACCTAGTGTATTGGAATTTCATGGAGACTATGAGAATATTTTGCTTTGGAATTATCATGAATTAAAGATAATATTTGATCTATGATAGATATTGCCATTTTGCTAACACCAACCTTGAATTTCATTATTTTCTCATTCTTAGGGAATATGTTTCAATACCTCTAGTATTTATTTAAAACCAACTACCTATAACACATAACGGTTGTAAATTTTGAAGTTTTGGTGAGAGTAACGAAAAGTGGGTTTTTTTCCACAATTTTATGAATAGATAACGTTTACTACATGTTGTATATTTTTAGCATATGAATTTTCTTTCTTTACTATCCAGAAAAAAAACCTTAATGATATAAACTATTCCTTTATTTTGGTGACACTATTGAGCAAATTATGAAGTACTTGGAGAAAAATCACTTAATACTGCAAATAATTTTGAGAATTAAAATAACTTCTGAAGAATTAATGGGAAGAAAATGTATGCCTGGGTTATGTTGCACTAAGAGATGGTTCATTCAGGATATAGTAAAATTGGTTAGTGCTACCCAGATTGGCAATAATTGAAACTAATGAACGGTTCACATATGTATTTACCATTTAAAATATTTAGACTATGATTGGCCATTTAGACTATGATTGGCTGAAGTAACAGAAATTAAGACTGCCAATGAGGACCAACTGATGGCAATCAGCCTCAATATCATCAGTTTCAGTGCTATTTAGTGATGACTCATCCTGCTAGGCTGTGCACTTCCTTCTTCAAGTGAAAGATGAAAAACCACAGGCTATGTTTCCAAGAGAGCAGACGTGTGCACGGAAAGCATGGAATAATAAACAAGCACAGACTGCTGAAAAAGTATCACCTACAGTTTGGAAATTTGTTTTAGGAGCCAAAAACGTCCATAAAGAAAATTTGTTTGTAAGGTGTTGCACAATTCAACCAGCAGAGGGCAATGTTGCACCAGGAATCATGGTACTTCACACTTCTGCTGCTGCATTAAATAACACACGTTTGTATACATGTGCAGACATGTAGAATTAAACGTTGTGTCCTTAAGTATTTACCTGAATGAGGTGTGCAAATTGCTTAAGTTCGTTTACTTTGGGAAAAGGATAAAAGGAAAAGCACAGAAAAATGCTGTATGCTCAATCAAAGCACCTCCATGATTTTAGAACATGCTTGATAAAGCTTATTTATAAGCACATGAGCCTACATCCTATTAGTTATATTCTCTTTTAATGTACAAGACAATTTCAATAGAAATATAGGAAAATGTATTTTATTAATAATTAATATAAATATGTCTCTTTCTCTCTCTTCTCTCTCTCTCTCTCTCTCTCTATATATATATATATATATATACACACACACAAAATGCCTCAAAGTCCGTTTTCTTTATGATGCCCACATGTGTTTGAATGAAAAGTAGTTTATAGGATGTCTCATAGAATATTTTCAAGTCTCACAAAAACTCTTTTCAGATCTACAGTACTCAGCAATAAAAATCCATATTTAATATGGCTTCTAAGACATTGTTACTAGTCTTCAAAAGAATAAACAATGCCAAATTAATTTTTATCAAGCACAGGGTAGTTAGAAGTTCATTATCATTTTGACAAGACATTTCTATTTTTTTCTGGTAACTTCTTTCTAATATTTCTTTTTTAAAACAAGGATGCTCTTAAAGGCACCATTTTTATATGACACTGAATATAATAATTGTACAACAAATAAATAAAAGCATAAATTAGTTAGCTAAGGAAATGAATGAGTCGCTATGTCTCAGATTTGCCAGTGCAGCATAAAGCGGCCGATTAAGAAAAGGATTGAGGGCATCTAACTAATCTGTTTTTGTCTTGGTGTAAAGAAGGTAAAGAGTGCATCTATAAAGTCTTTGTTAAATGTCATGAATGTAGGTGTAATAATGGCATTGATATTACTTGATCCTGACACCATTTCATAAGAATGGAATGATATGCTCCTTTTCTGAAGCATGTATGCAATTATTTTGAATGACCTTTAACTATTTTTTTCTCTTTCTTGCTAATACTTAATCTATGAAACATGAGCAGGTAGAATTCTCAATCTACCAGAGAAACGTGAATTTGAGAATGTTTTATAGAAAAGAAGCTGGGAAACCTGTCTGAAAACTTCCAAATGGTTTAGCTCATTTCTGGTGAGACTCATGATATCATATCTGTCAACACTGATACAAAATACCACACTGCAAAACCCTTTTATTGATACTAAATATGGTCCTGACAAATTGGATTTACTGCTTGAGCTATGGGAGTGTTGGCGTTCACCAATAGTAGAATCACACGATGCTGTTTTTAACATTGAGTCTGTTAGACCAAATCCAGTGATAATAAGATGTTAATACGGAGTACAGTCCTAATGTCTCCTTGCAGTCATTTCTCCTCCACAGTTCATCTATAGTGAATTTATAAAGCTCAGAGGCCAATTTCATACAAAAATTGCCACTAATGCTAAATAGGAGAAATTACATAATTTATTCATGATATGCTTTTGAATAGAGGAAAGGTGTTGCCCTACTATACCCTACAAAGGGCTGCAGGAATAAACCCAACCTAAGAGAGAGAGAGAGAGAGAGAGAGAGAGAGAGAGAGAGAGAGAGAGAATATATAGGCCCAATTATACTATTTTAAAAGGATATTCATATTTATTTGCTATGAAATATAATATTTGATTCTCATCAAACCCCTTGCCTTTTGATAGTCGTCTGAGGAGTGTTGACCCTCATTCTAGGACTTACAATTTCTTTTTATGAAGTTTAAGGATTTAGAATATGAGAATAAGAAAGGTATTAAGGTACATCATCTCCCTTTCCGTATGCCAGAACTTTAGTTACTTACATTTCATTAGACTGTCTTATAAAAATGAGAATCAGACAATCCTATCAGAACAGACTAGTTAGATGGTGCTTTGCTTTACACAAATAAAGAAAAGGAACAACTTTCATGTCTGTGTGGTCAGTATATGGTACCACTGACATTGACTTCAAAATATTTTCTATCTAGTTCTGTTTACCAAATGAAAATAAAACATCTTAGTGCCCACCTGGGTGTTAGTGTCAAGCTGCCATTAGGGGCTTTGTTTAAACTCACAAAAGGTCCATCTCCATCAGAGAATGTTGTCATTGATGAGTTTGCACTTCTAAGGGAGGAAAAATGACATATAAACAGAAGATAAAACTACCAACAAAACATGTTACATTTTAAATCATTTAATGATGCATATCCTGAAATAAATTATTTGATGGCCTGGGAAGAGTAGAGGGAGGGGAAACTGTGGTTGGGATACATTGTATGAGAAAAGAATATTTTCAGTATAATACCAAGTGTTACTACTACAAACCGTTAGCAGAATTATTACTAAAGACATAAAAAGAAGTCAATTTTTGAGAAATGCCTTTATTTTATTTTTTTCTTCTGGTATTTCTTTAAATTTAAGGTCTGAGCAGTCTTAATTCAAAGACAGAACACACAAGGCTACTCTGAGGATCTCTGTCTGCATCCTGGATCTGTAGTTGCCAACTAGTGAGCTACCACAGGGTGGCGAAAGATACCTCCATGTAAACAAGGCACCCAATTCTCCTGGCTGAGTCCTGTGGTATCTGCATCATCTTCTGTGTGTCTTATTGACATTTTTTTTTTCCTCCAGTTTCCTTACTTGTACCTTAAAATTTAGCTAGAGACTCGACTTTCAATTCTCAATCTTGTTTCAGTTCTTTTTATTCATTCAAGACCATAATCAATATAAAACTATGCCTTTAAGTCTGGGAGGTAGTGGGTGGGACAAGGAAAAAAGGAGAGAGGGTTAAAATGATGCAATATGTAAGTGAAAAACCCCAACTGTTAACAACAACAATCCTTACCTTTGGATTGTAAACATCCTGATTTTACTGGTATTTATGGCTGTCAAGAGACAGTGTAGTTCTTACCCTTTCTTTCTTTTTTTGGAGAATGATAGTGGGGGTTTCAAGTCAGGTTTTCTCTGTGTTGCTTTGGAGCCTGTCCTGGAACTAAGTTGTAGACCAGGTAGGCTTCGAACGCACAGAGGTCTGCCTGCTTCTGCCTCCCGAGAGCTGGGATTAAAGGCATGCGACCCCTTTGCCCTGCTGTAGTTCTTATCTTTTGAAATGCCATGTTGGGTCTGCTGTTGCCTCGCTAGAATATTCAGTGTCTCCCTAAAATAATACCTAACAGCCATGGTGTGTTTGGGTGCACAGGGAATGTGCATGGAACAGTCAATATTCGCATAATCAATGAAAAGGAAAAATATTCATAGGGCAACTCCTCCTTCTTCTAGAGTTGACCATAGACTGAATATTCATTTGGCATTTTCCAGCCACTGGATAGAGGCTCTCTCTAATGCCCCAGAATTTGGTATATTACACTTTCCTTTAAAAAGCAGATAAATTTAATGAAAAAACACAAAGCCACTAATATTCCTTTAATAAAATCCGAAATCGATTTAGCAAAACAAAGAGAAGCATTGCTATTGTTATTTTTGGAGATTAAACTATCTCCTCATACCACATGAGCAGAAGAATTATTTTACTTAGGTAGCCATATGCACATGCATTTGCTGCAATTTAGATTAAAAAAAAAAGGTAGAGGCAGGCAGGGGAGCAGAGAAAAATGTAGAGCTCGATAAAAATTAATAAAAAAAAAAGGTAGAAGTGGATATAGAATTCTAAGGGTGTTCTAGTCCTAACAACCTTAATAATGTAACGTAGTTCTAGGTGAAGACTAACACATTCATGTGAGAAGAGAATGTAGATTAAGAGCTCTGGATTTTATCAGCATGTACTTTTTGGTAGTCATCAAATGAATTTAAAATGCTAGGCCTCCTGAATGAGAAGAGGCTTTGTTTTTCCCGCTGGCTGCAGGCTTCATACAACTGGAACTGATTAGTACACTTCTATGCTGTGAGGGTAAAGTCCATGGTGATAATTGCTCTCTAATCTCCCTCCAGACAGCTTTTTTCTTGTGTTTACTCATTGTTAAGAGTTTCTCATTCTGCTCAAGGTCTACCACCTTCGAGCATTCTTCCAAGAAATTTACTAAGTCTCTTGTTTTCCAGCAGACTTTCACAGGGTGCTTTGTCAACATCAGCAGCTGTCACTCCAGAAAATGTTAATTACCCAGATCTTTAGATCTATGGGATCAGGAAGTTGGGGTGCAGGCCCAGTGGGTTGCTGTAACCAGTTTATCAAATGATTTTAGTGTCTGCTACAGAACGGGGAGAAGGTCATGCTGAAATACAAGCACTGTTTATGATAGTTGTACAAGGTTTTGTCTCGATGCTTTCATCTTGATTTCCAGCTATTTGAATCTGTTTTCATGCAGAAAATGGAGAACACCATCAAGACATCTACATTAAAATGTATGATTGCAGATATGTAGATTTTTTAGACAACTCAATTTCCTTGCTCTTTCCCTGTTCCTTTGAAATTTCTTTAAGATATTTCAGGGCCTATCAATACCTGTGGAAAGGTAAGTAAAATAGAAAATACTGACTCATGATTTTTATAAATATCTTAACCTATCCTATTCATCATATATCTACTGTTGGTGATACATGGTTGAACTCTGCATAATGACTTTACCATATGGGTTCTAAAGGAAAAGAAAGCTAGAGGATGACTTTTAAGAATAATAGACAGATGTTCTTCCCTTGGGAATCAAAAACAGTGTTCCATGGTGATGTTGGTGCTGCCCCGAGATCAACTGGAGATATATTCACATGGAAAAAAATTGCATGTTCTTTTCTATGTGATTCAGGTGAAAATTAAACAATGAAACAGACTGCACTTAATTATGTAGCTATATTGACTGAGGCTTGCTATGTATCCCAGACTGGTGTTAGTTTTAATATACATCCCGAGTTAACCTTGGACTTTCAATACTCCTGTTTCAGTTCTGTGAGCTAGGATTTCAGGAACGCAGCATCTTACTGTCGCTGGTTTGCTAGAAAACAGTATACCTTTACAACAAAATCTATTAAAATAGTCACATAAGTAAAAAGTTTGATCTCCACATCAGAAACCTAAAAGAATTGTAGTTTGATTCACAATAAACAGAATATGAAACAGCAAAAGTTTAAGAGAAACTATTAATAATGGTCAAAACAGTAATCAATAAATGAAAAATAAAATATTAACAATCCTTTGTGATGTCATTGTAATGAGTCTTTTTCTGTCCCACCAACCAGCTCCCAAATGGCCTGGAGACTTATTATTAATTATGAAAGCTCAGCCTATAGTTTAGGATTGTGTTGCGGGAGGTCCTTCTGCTCCTCCAGCCAATAGCCTCTGAGATACCAGCCCATTGGGGCGTGGGTCTCTCTCTTTAAAAAAGCGGTGTCTTCCCTCCTTGCTCTGTCTTACTTCCTGCTTCGCTTCGGGTGACTAGACTCCTTCCTGATTGCACAGAGGGCTGTTGTCTGGGACGGTGATCTGTAAGTTTTTTCCCCTTTAAATAAATACCACCTTATTAATCATAATTCCAAACTGCTGTGGGATTGTTTGTGACTTACGCCTTCACCTGGCACCCAACGTAGGGCGCCATTTGTAGAAGGAGCAGCAGGCAGGCCTGCTTTTCATCCCACCCGGTTTCCACACAGCTAGCTTAGCCCTGGAAATAATAACACGGAAACTGTATTCTTTTAAACACTGCTTGGCCCATTAACTCTAGCACTTACAGGCTAATTCTCATATCCCAATCAACCGATCTCTAATAATCTGTGTAGCATCAGTCGTACCGGGAAAGATTCAGCATGTCTGACCTGGCAGCTTGCTTCATGGCGTCTGCCCGGCAGAGGGGAGCATGGCCTCTGTCTGAGGCGTCTGCCCCAGATAGCAGCGGCCTGGCATCTGAGCTCACTTCCTCTTCCTCCCAGCATTCTGTTCTGTTTACTCCACGTACCTATGTTTTAACCTCTGAGGGCCAAGCAGTTTCTTTATTATAATTAACCAATGACCTTCCTCCATCAGGATTGTTCCTAACTAGCTCTTGTAACTTAAATTAACCCATTTCTTTTAATCTGCCTTTTACCTTGTGGCTTTCTAATCTTTATTTCTGTATGTCCAGCTCTGTCTATGTCTTGTTTTCATCGCCTCTGCACCTCGATTATTTGCTACTGCTTCCTCTCTTTATCTGGAGGTTCCACCTATACTTTCTGCCTATCAATTCGCTGTTTAGCTCTTTATTAAGCCAATCACAGCTGTATCTTCACACAGTGTACAAATATTCTATAACATGTTGACACTTATTTTCAAAAAAGTTCTCCTAACCGGTATGAATGGAATCAAGATGATTACAATCAATTAAATTTTTATGATGATTTCCAGACCTATGGATTTTGGTAACTGCAGTGCCCATCTCTACAACTGACTGAAAAGATTAGATATTTAGTATCATACCATACAGTTTTACCTTATTTACATATTAGTGTCTTCCAGCAACCTATTTCTAAGCCGTTCTTATTATTTCTATGGCTTATATTCCCATAAAGGGCGCTTCTGACTTGCAGAAGTCTATTCTATGCGAGAAGAGAAGCATATACATGCAAACATTAACACTTTTTAGGTCATTGATGAATTATAAAAATACAAAAGATTCTAGGGAGAAAAAAGGGCTATCCCCAGGCTGCTTGGATGGTATTCAGTCTTCAGCCTCTCTTCTCAGGCCCTGCTTAGGTTGCCTCTCCTTTGTCTTGCTACTCAGACTGCATTTGCTGAGATAAGGATTCTTGCCTGCAGCCAGAGCTTAGGTAGAGATGTTTTAAGCCTTTAGACACACTAAAGCTGAAGGAATAATAATGCATGCTGCAAATACTGCAGCCCGGCCCTGTACCTCATTTCACACCCCAAATGGTTTAAACCGTGAATAGAGCCAGGTGGGATTAAGCTAAAAAAGCTTTTAGAGAATGAGGGTCTTTCTTTTCGGATTGGAGGGAAAGAAGGGGATTGAGTTGGCATTGAGTTCAGGACATTTTTAGACAGGGGGTTGGTGGTTGGAAGCGAGTCCGGACAAAGTATTGCACTCCGATAGTCTCAGCAGTGGGCACTTAGGTAACACTATGTCTGAACTGAATGTAACTCAACCGCAAATCTTATTCATTTACTACATTTATAGTACCACATCTAC